TGTGGACAATCCGCCGGTCTGTGCTTTAACTTTTCTCCAGGGTCGAATCCAACATGCCGACGAGTTCCAGGGAGCTCGCAATGCATATGAGTCTGAGAGCTCGAAGCACGAATTAATCCATCACATGAGGTTGGCAGCTTTACCATGGCCCAAACTGCTGCCGGCATCTTCCTAATATGTCGATATCCTAGGTATCCGCCGATCCAAAAAGCAGAAACCCGGTTATCATAAATGCAATAATGTACACGTCTTATCCATGACGTACCCAGCTGTGTGCGTCTGCTCGGGCATAATGGCTCTCCAGCACCCTGTCGCTTGAAAAAATAATTTTCAATAACGTTGAGAGGCCAGCTGACCAGATCCATAATAATAATTTACGATTCGGAAAATGTGTAAAGAGAGGCCCTGATACACAGGACAAAGAGCAAAAGCAGGAGGAAGGCAGGAGAGGGAAGAAAAGCGTCCATCTTGTTCGAGGGTGAATGAGGAAAAATCTTATATAGTCATCCTGCTGATAATTAATGAGCAATAAACAGAATTATTAAGAAATAGCTGTAAAGTAAACATGAATGTGTACCTTGTTGTGCTGGAGCTTCAGGGCTGGGATCAGCTGCTGCTGGGGTCACTTGTGGCACATTAACAAGGATGCTCAAAGTTATGTTTCCTAAAACATTGGTGGCTGTGCAGGTGTATATTGCACTGTTATTAACTTTAGTCAAACTGAGTTCACTTGAGTTCTCCAGCACGTCCACTCCATCATCAGTCGTCCACTGATATTCAGGAGCAGGGTTCCCATCAGCCTCACAGCTCAGGCTGACATCATCACCCTTAGGTACTGAGATGTAACCACTGCGATTCACCAGGAACTCAGGAGCATCTGACAAAAAAACACTTTATATTCACTCATCTTCTCAGTGATTTGGATTATTTTGAAAAAGACATTTAAAAATAAAAGGACAGAGAAGTTAACTCACAGAGCGCTGAGAGATGGCGTGTTTGAGAAACAACAGGAAGTTGTGGTCCTAGTGGCTCAAGTTCCAGCTGAGCTTCACATCTAAGCTGAACAATACCGTCCTCTCTGCTGACGTTGACCTCCAAACTGCTGGATTTATTTACTGGTATTCTGGTTGTTTCAGAGAAAGACTGTGTATCTATAGTTTCATTGTTTTTAAACCACTTGGTGGTGAGATTTTGGACAGGAGCAGCGTTGAAGACACCACACTGAAGTTCATAAGTTGTCTTCTCGCTCAAAACATTTAAAGTCTTTACAGACAGGAGGACCTCTGGGATTTCTGTGAAAACAGGATACAATTTTTTATTTTTATTTTGTCTTCATTGCTTTGTAACTGGGGTGCCGTTTGTAACGTAACACAGTCAAAAATTAACAGCAATATTTGGTTTATTTAGCCTTTCATAAAAAAAATAGTTTTTTTTTTTCAGTCATATTTTCAAAATGTTATTCACACATTTATAAATGTCATAGTTCCAAACTAAATATTTAGTTACCAAGCTAAATATTTAGTTTACAAACTAAATACTTAACTTGCAAGTTAAATATTTAGTTACCAAAGTAAATTTTTAGTTCCACACTAAATATTTAGTTTACAGACTAAATGTTTATGTCAAAGCTGAATTTTTAATTTACAAATATTTATACATATATTTATATATATTTAAATATATATATATATATAATATATATTTACAAATATTTAACTTATAAGTTAAATATTTAGTTAGCAAATTAAATATTTATTTTGGAAATTAATGTTTAGTTTGTAAAATACATATGTTGGTCCAAGCTAAATGCTTAGTGAACAAAATTAAATATTTTGGAAATTAATTTTTTAGTTTGGAAAATAAATACGTAGGTCCGAGCTAAGTATTCGGTTAGCAAATTAAATATTTATTTTGGAAAATAAATGTTTAGCTTGGAAAATAAATATTTAGGGCCGACTAAATATTTTGATAGCAAATTAAATATTTAGTTTAGGAAATAAATCTTCAGCTTAAAAATTAAATGTTTAGTTTGGAAATTAAATATCTAGCTTGGCAAATAAATATTTAGTTTGGAAATTAAATGTTTAGTTTTGAAAATAAATATTTAGCTTGGAAATAAAATATTTAATTGACACCTAAAAATTTAGTTCACTAACTAAATATTTAACGTGCAGGTTAAATATTAATATTATAAATAAGTTAAATATTAATATCATAAATAAATATTAATATTGCAAATATTATAAATTTATAACTTGCAAGTTAAATATTTAGGGTGTAAATTAAACATTTATCTTGGACATAAACATTTAGTTTGTAAACTAAATACTTCACGTGGAGCTAAATATTTAGCTTGCTAACTAAACATTTAACTTGTAAGTTAAGTATTTATTTTTTTTATTAAATATTTAGTTTGGAACTTTGATATATATAAATGTATAAATGACATAGTGAAAATATGACTTTGAAAAAAAAAACTTTTTTTCCTTATAAGTTAAATATTTAGTTTGTAAATTTAAAAAAATGCTGTTAATTTTTGACTGTGTAACTTTACAAACAGCACCCCATATTTAACTGTTTAAACTTACTATAAACTATAATTTCAATCTCTTGGCTGCATTCAACAGACTCATTCAGCTTTATTTTGCACTCCCCCTTAGCATTCCAGTCCGTCGCTGGTGTAACGATGGAAACAAAGCTGTCCAAACTTTCACTTTGAGCTTGATGTGTTCCTATTTGGAGGGTAATTTCTTCAAGATCTTCTTCCATAACGGAGCAGTTGACATGGATGTCTTCTCCATATTCAGTTATGAGCATGGGAGGGTTCAGGATGAGAGGGTTCATCCCAGGAGGACATGTCTCATCTGCATCTGTAGACAGAAAAATAATAACATAAAGCAGACTTTACCGCACTCTGAGTGCACATATTGATGAATAATGCCTCTAATTGAGCAGTTTTATGTTGAAATGTTCATGACGTTGGGAAAAACAAGAGAGCAAGGACTGTTTTTTGAAAAAAAAATCCCACTTTTTTAGCGTTTCTAGCTAAAACTATGAATAAATTAAAAGCTTCTTTGAAAAAAATGTGTTATCCATCACCTTAGTTTGTCTAAGATTATGCTGAAAAATGACTGCCTATGTAAAAACACATTGTACATAATCTGTGTAATCTCATGCAATACAGCAAGCTGTCACACTCAGAGTAAGTGTTGTGAATGACTCTCAGCTACTACCACCCTATACTTTAACCTCAATACATGTCAAATTGACTGAGACAGTATTGTGTTGGCTAATTGACTGCAAAGGCTAATCAATTGTATATGTATGTCCAATTTTTCTCAAAGTTTCAATGCAATTTGTCCAGTGGTTCATGAGATATTTTGCTAACAGCCAAACAATGTTGAATCTAATGTTTAATATTACAGTTTAAGGCTAAGATCTTGCATGATAAGTTCGTTACATCTAGTAGTTCCTCACATATATATCTTAAAACGTTTGAATTTGCCATTTTGTGTGTTCTAAATTCATGCGAATGTGGCAGCCATCCTTACATGCGTTGATTCCAAAAGGTAAAGGTTATAGTGGCTCAATGAATATTTCGTAAAGGTTTTGTTAAAATCCATGAGGTGGTTCTTGAGCTATTTTGCTAACAGTCAGAGTTGACTTGAAATAGTTCATGGTAAAACTCCAATCAAAGATTTTGAGCTTAGAATATGTTCTGGGGATCAGGCTCAGCTACTACCACACCAAATGTCAGCTCCTTTTCTGTAAAGATGAAAGAAGTTGGCCATGTTTTGTGTTTTTCAGGGTCACTTATCTGTAGTAAGTTGACTCTAAGTTGTTGTAACTACAGCCCATACTTACGTCCTATAAGCTTCATTAAAATTTGATCAGTGCTTCACGAGACACGAAGAAAAAAAATACTTGGCGGCTGTTGCTTTTTTATTTTTAGGGAATTTAGGTTTTTTTTTTATAGGATATACATAAAAATATGATATTTGACACATTTTCATTTATTGTTGTTGATAGTTTCTGTTTATGATTTTAAAAAAATACAGAACATTCATGCGTGTCTGTTAGCCACCGATGCTGTACAAAGACTAGCATTAACAGGTTAAGTTGTATTTTGTAAAAGCGATCACCACACCCAGTTTTCATTTACACGCGCCGGTTTTTACACCGACTTCGTAACACCTACCCCTCCCACTTACAATTACATTTTACTCATGTATTTTAATTTCTGTTGATAGTTTTTGTTTACGATTACCTCAAAGATAACTTGTCCAAATAGTTGTTTCCTGAATCATCCTGTCGAGATGAAAAAGTTCTTCCTTTCATTTCACAGCACGTGCGTGCTTATCGAAACAAAAAGTGAGTAAAAACAACAATAAACCAAATAACCCCAACATCTCAGTAACCTGCGACCCTAACCCTAAAATCAAACAAACTGTCCAACGTTTATGATTCATAACTCGTCATTTCCACTCACCACACAGAGACAATGTGAGCAGAAGCCCCAGCATCTTGACAGGCAGCATCCTTAAGCAGCATGCAGGAGGAGGAGAGGTGGGAACCAGGAAGGACCAGAGGAGGTCCAGCTTTCTGATGGAACAAACTGGATCTTGGCCCAGATCTGGTGCTACAGATGATTCTGACAGTTACATAGGTAGTCAAAGAAAGCTAAATGGGGAAAATGAACGCCCAGGAAACAGGAAATCCTTTGTGGCGCAACTGTTGATGGTTATTCCTCCACCCATGCAGCATTCTGTGCAGCTGCTGATAGTATCCTTTCAAAACCTATTGCACACCGCCTAAAAATGATGTTAATGTATTGTTTGATTAGGAACAAAGTGGGAAACAGAATATTTTGCAATAACCCTAGCCACTGTCTGGTAATTAACAGGTTATTTACCAAATGGTTTCAAGTTTAGACCTAAGCACACATTTTATTTATAAAGCAGAAACACTGAAGACACTTGCTGGTGCTCATATCGTCATCTTTATTTTCTGTGTCATCCACATGCATTTGTTTCTTTCTTTCTTTCATTCGTTTTCCTTTATTTAACCTGATTTAAAATCAAGATCTCTTTTGCAAGAGGGACCTGTGCAGCTATGTGGGTTTGATCATCATGGAAACTTTTTTCAGAGAGTAGGAACCTCCATGGAACTCAGCCCAATAGACTCCATCCTGGTAGCGGCTTCGATAATGTCCACCTCGGTACCATACACCGTTCAGATTGGAGTGGGCGCACATGTGGTACCACCAGCCTCCTTTCTGGTAATGAGCACAGTTACCTGACAACAGAAGAGCAGAAATGGTCATGAACGTATAGTCATTCCAGAACACAGAGCTTTAGAGCAGGAGCAGACCCATGTAGCTGTCCTTGTCCCGGTCCAGAGTGGTGAAGGCCTTGTTGTTGTGCCATGACAGGGAGTCCCCTGCGTTGCCTTGGTATTGTCCCAAACGCAGGCGGTACCAGTCGCTCTCTGGTTCCAAACGGAAGCTGTCGTATTCTGCAAACACGTGCCGGCCCTGCCAGTCCTCCAGAGCCACCCGCAGCTTATATTTAGCTTGTTTCGTGAGCCAGTAGAGGTGTTCCAGACCGAGCCAGTACTCCCCGTTTAGGTTCCCAAAGCCTTGCTGCAACACACCAAAGCTCTAATTTAGACCCGCTTTCTAAAAGGCCCTACTTTCTTCCCTGTAAAGTTTCTTTACAGCAGTTTTCAAAATTTACAAATAATTAAAAATAGGAGTCTGATATAAAATAGTTACTCGAAAAGTAAACTTTTACTAATAAATAAAATCTGCAGCTGGTGACCCTTGAGTCATCCATTTATTAATACTGTGTCTTTTAGCTTTTAGGGAAAAACAAATGAGTTTTAATGGAAAACCAAGTTAACTTACCAAGTACATATTTGTTACGTACCAGGTAGCCTGCAAGTAACAAGGCACTTCATAATACCCTGTGGTCCTCATTGAAAACAGGTATATAAACAGTACACACCAGGTAAGTGCCTAGTAAATACTAGATATGTAACTAGAAGTACTTGGTGTGCTACTGTAAATATGTATATGGCACATTCCAGACAAGTACCAAGTACATACCAGAGAAAGACCAGGTACCTCTTGGCTAAGTACAAAGGATGTATGTGATACAGTACATGCACTGTAGGTGTGTAGTTTGTATGTAAATGGTAAATACACTTATATAACGTCTTTCTACCTTATCAAGATACTCTAAGCGCTTTACACCACAATCTGTGCTCTCGTTTACCCATTCATACAGCACTCTACTATTTCTGTACAAAGAATAATCAGTGCTTTATCACATTCATACACTGATGGGACACACATCGGAGGCAGTGAAGGGTTCAGTGTCTTGCCCAGGAGCACTTCAGCATGTGACTGCTGGTGGAATCGAACCCCCAGCTATTGCATTGGAGGACGACTGCTCTAACCACTCAGCCACAGCCGCCCTGTATGTACAGGGTAACCTGTAATTTCATAATACAACCCTGTCCCTGTAGCTTCAAGGTATATAACCAGTACGTACCCGGCACAAACTCTGTAATTAACATGTACTCTGTATGCGCTACTGTTGATAAGTACTTGGTAAGTTCCCAGTATGTATCAGGCACATTCCTAAGTAACATACACAAAACCTGTTTGTGCTAGTGTACATAATATACATACTCCCTACAAGCCAGGTGAGTACAGAGTATGTACCAAGTAAGTAATCCTGTGAATATTATGTACTTGCCTTGTACATGCTATTTTACGTACTGGATATGTAACTTGTAAGTACACAATTGGTAGCCGGCCTTTTAAAATGTAATTATTTTCTCAATACTTTCATTAATGCCCATATTCATCAATCATCATACATCATCACATATTTTCTACTTCAGCTGTTGACCCCAGGACCACAGTCCAACAATAATCACCCTCATTTCGATTTCCGAGCTTCAAAGATGTATGAAGTCACCTTGTACTGCTCCCAGGTCCTGAAGAAGTTAACCGATCCATCCTGTCTCCTCTGGATGACGGTCCACCCTCCCAGATCACCACTCTGCTCGCACCAGGCCTGCAGGAGGCGGTTGGTGTTCAGTGGGCGGAGCAGGTAGATCCCACTGGTGGTCTCACCTGAGTCCAGGATGTGCTGACAGTCCCGCCACGGCCCTGAACCAAGAAAACACGTGCCAGTAATATGCAGACATAGCGTACTTTTTTTAAAATTTATTTTTAAATGCACAACTTTTAAATGCTATCTATTTCAAAGGAATGGTAACAGTTTGTAAAGTCGCCTTAACGTCTAGAAGATCAAAGACGTTCTGCAGCTTCAGTTTATCTAGCTGGAGCAAAGGCATGTTTTTTCAGATTCCTGTTCAGAAACAGGCCCTGGTAAAAATGAACTTGTAGCAGAATACCTCCCACATGGAGTGATGACACCCAATGAGCTGCCATGGAAAGCACTGTCACATGAGCGCAATGTGGCAGCGCTTTAGAAAGTGCTGATGAGTCATTTTGTGTCTGTCATCGGCTCCAGTCCTCTATACTCTGGATTTTTTTTTTTTTTTTTTTTTTTAATCAAAGTAGGCAAGTTTCTGCTCTTTGGGGATGTTTAAAACATTTGCAAACGTTGGGCTCTTCATCACGACGCCTGAGCTCTGAGAGCAGCTTTGACGTTGTTTAGGCTTTCCCAAGAAGATAAGACTTCTACCAGCAGGTCATTGACTCCGTCAGCTTCTGCTGCTTATCTGAGCTCTTAAATAACTCTGATAAAGATGAGGAAGAAAAAAAAAATGCAGTTTGGAGTATAATGAGGTGCTACTTTGAAATTTGCCTGACACTGAAGTACCTGGAGAGTTTGTGACAGGGAAGCTCACAAAAGGCTTGTTGGTCGGAGCGTGCGGGGAATCTCCTCCTGTTTTGTCTTGCGGTGCTGAGGCAGCGCTTTGGTCCCTTTGAACGTCACTGATCATTTTGTTGGCTTCAGAGCTGTAATTATGATGCTCATTAGGCTGGATGCTTGCTGGATCTGTCATCACCTGCTCACACAGAACACACAGTTCTTGTCCCTCGGAGCACATGTTTCAGACATAAAGAGCATGTGTCTTACCTGAGAGCTGGAATCCCTGCGCTGGCACTGCTTCTCCAGTTTGCTGATGAACTGGTTCTGCGAGCTTATCGTGGAGGTGAGGGCTCCATATTTCTTCTCCAGTTCCCTGTAATTACTGGACACCTGTAATGCCTGAGGTGTCCCACAGCAAACATAAAGATGAGCTGGTAAGAGATTTAGATGTGGCTTTTTTTGCGCTGTTCTTTGCTCACCTGTGTTGTAGCATTGAGCAGGAGGCTCTCCACCCGTTGCTGCTCCAAAGCCTGGTCCTTCTTGTGCATGACTTCCTGCAGCAGCTGGGCGTAGAGCTGGGCGATGCGAGAGTTCATATTGTTGCTCTCTTTGCGAAGGGCTCTCACCTCCATGGCGAGAGACCCTTCCTGCTCCAGTTGGCGCTGGAGCTTGTCCAGCTGTTCCTGCTGATGTTTGAGCTGCGCCTGCAGAGCTGCCACATCAGAGCGGTTGGGCGAAGATGGCAGCGTGTTCAAACACAGCGCTCCTGTCAGTTTCTGCTGCGGAACAATGAAGGTGTAAGAGCAACGTTCTGCTTTAGAATCTGAAGAACGTGGTGATTGTTTGCCTCCAACCATCTGTCCTACAACTTCTGGTGTGTTCACACACACTGTGAGAAAAATGCTCAGGCTTATTGTCAGTGATGAATCCATGGATTTCTCAAACACCTGAGGACACCCTGGTAAAGGAGTAAAAAATGTATATATTACTGAAGTTATGATTACCCAGCAGGGGCTAACAAGGTTCGACCATCTCCAACATGATTTAACTTTTTTTTAAGTCTCTTCACCAGATGTTCCTTTGAAAGTATGCACATTCCTACGTGCTGGAAACTTTGCACGTCAACACTAAAGAGACAACAGTCAACACAAACCAGACAGAATCAACATGCCTCCGACTCACAATTAACAAAACCGCAAGACTCAAAGACAAAAAAAAAACAGGGAAAACGGACACATGGCTTTTAAAAAATGTAACTTTTTCTTTGAAATAATCTACTGGAAACCTTGAAATCAAATAATATCTTATTTGTTGCAAAATACAACAATTATTACTGTGAGTTTGGATACATCAAGAAGTGAATAATATGCTAAGTAATGGTTTAAATGACTTAACACTTTTTATGATTAGATAAATGTTTAGAAATACTTATAACTTACCGTTGCAGATGCTGAATGTCTTTGTTCCTTTTCCAGTGTTCAGCAGCAGCTCACAGCACCATAATACATTAAATTCATCTTTTTCATACAGGAAACAGAGAAGCTTTCTTCAGATTTAAAGCTCAGAGTTGTCAGTTGTATTCAGTCAGGTGAATGACTGGGTTTGTGATGGAGCTGCACTGCTCAGTTTCTGGCTCAGTATCACAAAAAAAAAAAAGAGAGACGGCTAATAAACTCTCCCAGTGATGTCTCCTCCCAGTGCTTGTTGTTTAGCTCTGCTCAGTGTAGGAATCTGGATATCTCCTCCCTTCTCCACCACCCCGTGAGCCTGCAAAAAGAACTGAACTTGCATGTGATGATGTGATGTGGCTTCAACTTCCGTCAAATCTCTGACGCATCTGTTGTTGGATTTCTAGTCTTAAATGATCCGCTGGTGTTTAAATGGCTGTATTGAAGGCATTTTGTGGAAGTTATTTTAGTTTAATTAGAAGCATTCAAGAGACATAACGATGAAATACTGGAATACTGTATATTCATTCATTCAACCATTATTTATGCAGGTTAATCCCATTGAGCCTCGGGGACTCATTTACAAGAGCGACTTGAATTTTAACAAAGAGTGATGACAACAATGGACAACAACGACAACAGAAGATAATCATAAATAATGCATACATTTTTTTTAATATGAAGTAATTTGAATATGAAGCAATTAAATCACTTAATCAGGTGTGTTGTAGCAGGGAAACAACTAAAACATGCAGGGTAGTGTTCCTTGAGGACCAGGGTTGTGAATCACAGTACTGTGCTGTAAATAAATAAAACGTCACTTTTCTGCCCTCTGGTGGTCAAAGAAAAATATTGCAGGGCAGATAAACCAGATCAGCTCGGAACAAACTGTTCTCAGTTTGAGAAACACGGACCTATTAGTGTGTTACACCGTGAGAGTACCATGTGGAAGGATTGGCGAGTAGAAGTTTCCCGTTTTACTGTAGATTTTGCTGCAACAATGAACATAACCTAATTTAACTTACGTGTACTTTCGCAAAAATTATTGTGAGTTTTTCAAAGAATTTTATCAGCGTTGCGTCGAGTTAAATCATGGGGAAATCAAAGGTGAGTGCGCTTAGCCTCCGCTTCATGTTAGCTAACGGCTAATCAACGAAATTTAGACTAAATTATTAAATACGGTATTGTTTGATTATATCGCAACTCAAATGGTTATGTTGCTGAAAAATAGTCTATGGTGTTGTAGACAGTAAAGTTAGCATTGCTTCAACCTCCGTTAAACTCTAGCTTAGCTTGTGCTAGCTTAGCATCATTGAGAAGTGTGTTTAACAAAAGCATGGTTGTATTTTGTTTGTGTTAGACCAAAACTCAGAAGAAAGCCCGAGAAGAAGCCCACCAGGTGGCAGAGCATGCGTACAGATCTGTGCCCCACTCTTTCGTCTTTCACCGGGGTCAGATTGGGAAAAACGTCGGTCAGCTCGTCATGGACATGCGGAGAGTCATGCAGCCCTTCACCGCAGAGTCGCTGAAGGTCTGGAAAACATCTGTCTGCAACTTCTGGGAGACACTTCATATTGAAACTTTGGATTTGACGTGAAATTTTTCAGCAGGCGACCTAAAACGTGCATTTCTTAAATTGAGATACATGAATACTACTTTTTGAACATGGTCACCCACTCATTATTACTGGTTTTTTTTTTATAATCTAGGTTCGAAAAAGGAATGTCCTTAAAGATTTTGCATCAGTAGCAGGACCGCTGGGAGTGTCACACTTTATCATCTTTGGTAAAACTCCCAACAGTGTCACCATGGTGAGACGGTCAGCTCAAAAACACGTGTTTTTTTTTATCCTTTATATTCAATTCATGCTTTTTCTAATCCAACCGTCTTTTTCTTGTTGCAGAGAGTTACTCGACTTCCCAAAGGTCCCATGCTTTATTTCAAAGTCCTTAAGGTAAATATTTTAATACACCAGCAAAGCTAGTTTGATCTAATGATGGGTTCAGGTGATGAGATTTAAATATTTGATTGTTATGTGATATTTTCTAAAGTAAACGCACTGATGCACCCGTGCACCATTACAATATACACGCAATGTTTTTCTCCACTTTTTATTTAAAACCTTTTTTTTTCCCCTCCAGTATTCTCTCGTCAAAGACGTGATTTCGTCTCTGAAGAAGCACAGGATGCACGAGCAGCAGTTCACACACCATCCACTACTTATCCTCAGCAACTTCGGAATGGATGGCATGCACGTCAAACTGATGGCCACCATGTTCCAGCACATGTTTCCTTCAATAAACGTTCAAAGGGTATCTGTAGTAGAACTTGTATTTTTTTGTTGCATTGTAATTGAAGATGGACGAACCTTGCAGACATGATGAAAGTATAGTCTTCTGAATCAGTGTGAAGATTTTTCATAAGTAAACGCTTTCTGATACCTTGGTTTTTTTTTTTTTTTTTTTAATGAACACAGGGCGAGCTTTTCTCTGAGGTGAACTGATGATTCTTTTCTCCTGTTCAGGTTAATCTAAACGACATCAAGAGGTGTGTGCTGCTTCATTTCAACTCGGAGTCCCAAGAAATACAATTTCGACATTAGTAAGTAAGAATTTAATATTATCTTTGTGCCGTAAAGTTAAGCTGCGAAAGTTTATGCAGCTGCATCGCTGGTGTGCTGCTGCTTTGTGTTCTAAATCGAGCTAAGTTGTATTACAATTAATGTGGCTTTAAGTTTTAGAAATAATTCGGTGGAGTGGTGGGCTCAGATGATGATAAACTCTTGACTTGATGTTTCCGTGATGTACGTCCAAAGTAAACGCACTGATGAGCCTCTTCACGTTGCAGCTCGCCGTCGTCCGTTTGCGTCCAGTCAGGTTTACTAAAGTGGTCGTGTTTCTAACCTGCAGCAGCCTGAAGGTTGTTCCTGTCGGGATGAGCCGAGGCGTAAAGAAGCTGATGCTGGAGAGGTTCCCCAATATGAACAAGTTTGAGGACATCAGTGAGCTGCTCATGAAGTAAGCTTCAGTTGTTGCTGAAATTAAGTTATTTTGTTAAAATACTCATTGCAAAGTGTGAAACAAAAAAATGTATACAGAACTGCCGTACTTTCCACTATACACATTGCACGGCCTTATAAGTCACGTCAGTCCAGATACGTTATTAAACATAAATGTATCGCTTCACCGTGTAAGTCGCATCTAATATGCGTCACCGCTGACCACCTGGAAACGTGGGCCGGTGTTGTGCCAAAAATCGACGGGCTGCCAAATAACGGCTGCGGGAGCATGCATGGGAGGACAAGATTAACACTTTAAACAATTATTTGTTTGCTCGACGTTATAATAAAGGTGTGTCTCAGTTTAACTTTTCTTTAATAAATGAACTTTAATGGTCAAATCAGCTGCATTTCGCCTGGGCAGCGAAATGCAGCTGATTTGACGTTTGCTCCAGGAGTTCCAGAATGAGACGAAGTTGGCTCTTTATGGCAAGCCAAGTGTCTCATTAATAGACACTTTTACCTATTAATGAGACACTTGGCTTGCCATACTGCTCAAGAGCCCTCTAGTGGCTGAAAATGGTAGTGTTCAATATTTTCCATGTCAGAATGAATGAAATCGTCAGATCTCAGCCAAAAATTGGGTTATAAATATGGGGGGGGGGGGGGGTGTATGGTGACTTCGGTGTATAAGTTGCAGGACTTGCAAATTTATGCCAAAAGGTGCAACTTATACAGTGAAAAATATGTTATATGAAATGATAAGTTTAAAAGTTTCCTCCAGTAGTCTCCAGACTTATTGAATCAGTTCTGAAATGTGGGTCCACAGTCGATGTAAACAAAGTATTTGGCTGAATCTTGTCAAAATTGATTGGTCTACATTAGGTTGAGCAAAGTCTGAGGTAAACAAATAATGGCTGGTAAGTTTCAGTTTGACACCCCCCCCCCCCCCCCCCCCCCCATCACCCACCCTTTTTACTCTTTAGTCACTTTAGCACTTTCTGTAGATAAACATGGTTGAATCTGGTCACTCCTTCCTTTTATGACTCTTTACAATTAGTTTAACAGAAATATGAAGAATTGTTTTTCCCTACTATGTGATATTTTTATTTTAGTCCTATCTTGATAAGTTTGCTACTTTTACATTTGTAGTGTTTTATCTTTTACAGAATGGGTCTGTATTTAATATTTAAAGTGCTGTCTACATGTCTCAGGGGAGCAAATCTTTCAGAAAGTGAAGCTGAACCGGACGGAGATTACAACATAACTGAACTTCCACAAATCTACTCTGGAAGGGGCAACATGGCGTCACAGCAGAGCGCCGTCCGTTTGACCGAAGTGCGTAAGGGTCTTATGTTTAACGCACCCGTGAGCTTTGATGTCGGCTAAATATCGTATTTCGTTGTCCTCAGGTTGGTCCTCGTATGACTCTGCAGCTGATAAAGATTCAGGAGGGGATGGGCGACGGGAACATTCTTTACCACTCCTTGAGTGAGTGCACGGCAGTCCTAATTTAATCCTGCTCGATGCTCAGATGTACATGATGATGCAATCTGTATGATTCGTATGATTTCTCTTTAAAAGTAAACGCTATCTGATTCGTCTGGACTTTATTTCAGTTTTATGCACCCGCGACGCAAACCGTTTTTGAGCAGGAATATTTTTGTGTACGTTGCTTACAGTAACCAAGACGGAGGAAGAAATACAGGAGATCCTGAAAAGAAAAGAAGCCCAGGTTAAAAAAAAGGGGGAACGCCAAAAACAACAGGAACAGAATATTGCAGAGAAGAAAGCGAAGCGGGACGAGCACAAGTAATTTGGGTTTGGAGCAACTTCACGTGTTTCCTGTTTGGTTCACTTGAAGTATAAAAACTAAATATTTTCTGTCTGTCAGGAAGAAGAGCCTGGAAGGCATAAAGAGGAAACTAGCTGAGGCTGAAGAGGACAGCGAGGTGGAAGATCCAGGGGCGCAGGACGATAAAGCTGCTGTCGAATCTGATGATGATGTGGAGTATTACAGACAGGCTGTGGGGGAAGAACCGGATGAAGGTGCATATAAAACATGCTCTGTAAACCCTAATGTAGTGCTTATTTTTATTGACTAAATGTTTTTTTTTGTTTTTTTTTTGTGCAGACATGTTCCCGAGCGCCAAAAAGAGACGACGCTCCGAAAAGTCTCACAAGCCGACCAAGAAGGGGAAGTTGTCTCCCGTTGCGTCCTCCAAAGAAACGTTTTCCAAATCGCCAAATAGAAAAGGTGCAGGAGGACAAAGCAGAGACAGAATGGGAAAAGACAGACATGGGAAAGGGTGGAAGAAATCAAAAGATGAGAAGACGACGTTTGGAAAGAAAAAGTTTCCCCCAAAATCTAGAGATGAAAAAACGTTTGGAAAGAAAAAGTTCTCCCCCAAATCTAGAGATGAAAAAATGTTTGGAAAGAAAAAGTTCTCCCCCAAATCTAGAGATGAGGAGAAAACATTTGGAAAGAAAAAGTTCCCCCCAGGAAAAGCATTTGGCTTTAAGAAAGGTGGGGAGAGGGAAAATAAATATGGTGGGAAAAAGTTTGGCGATAAGAAAAACAACAAAGACAAATCATTCAGATCTAAAGGCCAGAAAAACCAGTCGGGTTTCAAGAATAAAGGCGCAGGAAGAAATCCAGGCTTCTCTCAGAAGAAAAGAAAAAGCTGAACTGTTCTCTGGTTCTGTGCTTTGGGTGCAGTGCCGGGTTCAACCAGCAGGAGGCAGCAAAGATTAACCAGGTGAAGCCCGAGCTGGAGCATGAGACAAATAAGACTGTAAAATAAAAAATACTGATTTGAATTGTCAGTATTTACATTCGTTTGGACTTCAGAACTTAAGTGAACATTTTTATAAATAAGTTCTAAAAGTTTTTTTTTCTCTGTGCCATTTAAATTCAAATGATGTTCTTTACCGTCTGAATTTAAAAAGCGTACTTGAGAGAAATAAATGATTGTGGCAAATTTTTATTGAATAAATGTTTTTCCCCTCAATGCAAAAAAATCAGAATCAAGAGTTTGAAACAAGTAAAAGTAACTGTTAGGTCTGTTGAGAACAAAGTGTTTGTGTGTGGGGGTTGTTTTCTGATTGTTGCACAAATGAGCATCTCTAAAAAGATTTGAAGAGGAGCATTAGTCGAGTAAAGATGTTTTAAAAACAGTTGTGGAGTGAATAGCCCAGTTAATTGATTTAAGTTTCTGTGAAAGGCAAAGTTGATAGAACTCCATTAGTTTAGCATTTCTGGCTGCATTTTCTGTTGAGTTGTTGATCTCATCAGTAAAATGTTACGTCAGAATACAAACTCACTGTTGTTATAGGGGTGCAGTGTTCTGGCCGATCTCTAAAAAGTCTGACCGGCCGATACCAATTTTGTTTGATAAGCAACACAGTCAGGTGTTATAAGGTCACAATGCACCTTCAGTTTTCCAATTATTTTATTAAAAAACACACCCTTGAACAATATCCTAGAAATAATACAAACTTGTTTTAACTGGCCATGAGGTAGTGCTCTAAAATATAAAGGAAGTTTAGACAATTGTTAAAAAAAATCTGTTTCTCATGCAAGTATCGGCCAGTTTCCCAAAATTAAGGAAATCAGCGCCGATTTATCTGTGCACCCCCAGTAGTAACCATTGATCTGTAAAATGAATATGTTGGCCTTTGCATGTAATGATACTATAAACACCTACAGAGCCTATATAAAGTTATTTCCCTCAGATGTTTGTGCTATTGCTGCAGTCGCACATCAGTTGTGGTCAATATAAATTCGTTAATCCTGTATATGCAACTCAAAACCAGTTCATCCCTTTCAAAGTCATCGTCCTAATTCAAACTGGACAAAATATAATAGAAATGTACATGTAAGGACGGATACAAACGGATTCCCGAAGTCCTGAATATCCTCAGCTCTTGTCAAATCCATCAAGAAATGGAAGGACGTGTGTAAATTACCAGTAGGTCGTCCTCAAACTGAGTGACCCAAGACTAGCTGGCAAAACTTAACTGTGTTGTTTGTAAGAAATTGTTTTTTGTTTGCGAGTGTGATTTCTGTCGTGCACAGATGCCATGTCTTTATTGCATAATTTGCAAATGCAGCTTCTGGCGTCACAGTTTCCGTTTCTGGCGTCACAGTTTCCGTTTTGCAAATTGTGAAATGAGCGCTGGGGCACGAGGAAACGACTTGTTTGCGTCCTCGACGTCTCGCAGCACGCACAAACATCTGCCTTTAGGTAAGATAAAGATGTTTTTTATTTTTATCCACATTCCATAAAATTATGTTTTTATATTTGACTCTGCTTTCTGCAACTCTCGTAATTTAACAGCATAAAAATAAATTGGGGCTTTAACCTGACGATTTATGCCACCTATTAAATGTAGTAATTTTAATCATCCTATTATTTACATGTATTTCTTGCTATGATTTATTTGAACAGCTGCTCAGAAGCTGAACTTGGAGCCGAAGGCAGGATGGCAGTCAATTTCTCCGACTGCGAGAGGTTTCAGATTGGCGTGCTGCCGGCGGTGTACGGTGTGGAGTTTGTGGTGGCCTTGGCAGGAAACCTGTTTGCCCTGTGGCTTCTGCTCACCAAGGAACGGAGGAACTGGCACGCCGGTGTCGTGCTGTCCTGTAACCTGGCCATCAGTGACCTGCTGTACGTCCTCACCCTGCCTCTGCTGATCGTCTACTACTCCCTCGGGAAACGATGGCCGTTCAGTGAAGCTGTGTGTAAAACCGAGCGGTTCCTTTTCACGTGCAATCTGAACGTGAGCATCTTCTTCATCATGGCGATAAGCGTGAACAGATGCGTGGCCCTCAAGTGGCCCTTCTTTGCTCGCTCCTACGTGGAGCCTGCTCATCTCAAGGTCGTCAGCGTGGTCGTCTGGGTCATTGTTGGGGTCATCTCCTCCCCCGTGCTGAAATTCGCCTCCGTTTGTCACGACAAGAATAACACGACTCTATGCGTGTCGTTCTGTGACAAAAATATGAACGACGCAATGCCTTTCTTGATTTACAAATTGTTTCTGGCTGTGTTTGGCTGTCTCCTTCCCTTTCTGGTCACTTTCACTTCCTACTATGTGGTGATCCGGGTGGTGCGGGAAAATGTCAGCATAACAACGCTTGAGAAACGCAAAGTTGCCTTGTTAGTCTCATCAGTGATCGTCCTGTATGCCGTTTCCTTTGTGCCCTATCACGTCTCTCAAATCGCCCACTTGTATAGGAGAATCTTCAACCGTAACAAGCCCATCTGTTGGATCTACAACATGTACCAAGTGTCCAAAGGACTGGCAACGCTGAACATGTGCATCCATCCGATACTCTACGTGGCTGTGTTTGATAGCATCAGAGTCGCATGTTGTGGGAACAGCTCAGAGGACAAGATTCAGGGGATGATAAGGAAGTAGAACTGCTACTTGGTGGGGGTTTTTTGTGTGTGTGTGTGTGTAGTCGCTATGAACTTTAACTGGAGATATTAAGCTAATTGTTGCTCTGCAACGAAATCCTGCACACTTCTTGTTTGTACACTGAGCAAAAATATAAATGCAACACTTCTCTTTTTGTTGCTATTTTCCATGAGCTGAACTCAACAAACCAGAGACTTGTTTATGTACACAAAAGGTCTTTTTCTCCCAAATAGTTTCCACAAATGTGTGTAAATCTGTGTTCGTGAGCACTTCTTTACTGAGATAATCCATCCACCACACAGTTGTGGTATATCAAGATGCTGATTAAATAGCATGATGATTGCACATGTGTGCCTTAGGCTGACCACAATAAAAGGCCACTCTAAAATGTGCAGTTGCATCACCCGGCACAATGTCACGGATGTCACAAGTTTTGAAGGAGCATGCAACTGACTGCAGGAATATCAGCCGGAGCTGTTGCTCGTGAAATTAATATTCATTTCTCTACCATACGTCGTCTCCAAAGCTGTTTCGGAGAATTTGGCAGTACATCCAACTGGCCTCACAACCGCAGACCACGTGTAACCACACCAGCCCAGGACCTCTACATGCAGCATCTTCACCTCCAAGATCCACCAGGACAGCTGCCGCAACAGCAGGTTGGCATAACCAAATAATTTCTGCAGAAACTGTCTCAGGGAAGTTCACCTGCATGCTCATGGTCCTCATGAGGATCGCCACCTTTGTCATCGTAACAGACTTCAGTGGGCAAATGCTCATATTAAATGGCATATGGAAGTGCTCTTCACAGATGAATCCCTGTTTTCACTGTACAGGGTACATGGCAGACTGCATTTATGGGGTCGTGTGGGTGAATGTTGTGAATCGAGTGGCCCTTGGTGGTGGTGGTGGGGTTAAGATACGGGCAGGCGTATGTTACGAATAACAAACACGTGCGTTTTGAATGCACAGAGATATTGTGACAAGATCTTAACGCCCATTGTTGTGCCATTTATCCATGACCATCATTTCATTATGCAGCATGATAATGCACGGCCCCATGAATCCTGGAAGCTGAAAACATCCCAGTCCTTGCATGGCCAGCATACTCACTGGACATGTTACCCTTTAAGAATGCTCTGAATTGGAGTATACAACAGCACGTTCCAGTTCCTGACAATCCAAGAACTTTGCACAACCACTGGAGAGGAGTGGACCAACATTCCACAGGCCGTGATCAATAAACTGATCAACTCTATGAAAAAAAATGTGTTGCACTGTCTGAGAAATACCATATGCCTGCCCATACCATAACTCCACCACCAAGACGGGCCATTCAATGCCATACCTGCCATGTACCCTGTACAGTGAAAACCTGAATTCATCTGTGAAGAGAACACCTCTCTCTGTCATACGCCATCAAATGTGAGCATTTGCCCACGCAAGTCAGTTACAGTGACAAACTGCATCAGGTAGAGCCCAATTAGGATGACCGGTGTGCTTCCCTGAGAAGGTTTCTGACAGTTTGTGCAGAAATTCTTTAGTTATGCAAACTGATCGTTGCAGCAGCTGTCAGGGTGGCAGGTCTCAGACGATCTTGGAGGTGAAGATGCTGGATGTTGATGTGATTGTGACATCTATGGCATTGTGCTGTGTGATAAAACTGCAAATTTTAGAGTGGCCTTTTATTGTGGTCAGCCTAAGGCACACCTGTGCAATTATCATGCTGTCTATTCAGCATCGTGATATGCCACGCCTGTGAGGTGGGTGGATGATCTCGGCAAAGGAGAAGTGTTCACGAACACAGATTTACACTTTTTTTTTTTTTTTACAATATTTGGGAGAAAAAGACCTATTGTGTACTTTGAAAAACTCTTGGATCTTTGAGTTTAGCTCATGAAAAATGGGAGCAAGAACAAGTGTTGCATTTATAGTTTTGTTCAGTATAGTTATTAATGCCAGATGTTGTTCTGTACTAACAAATTTTGACCAAACCTGTCTGTAAAAAAAGGCCTTTTGTTGGTAATGTCAACAATCTGACTCACATCTGGAAAACCAAACATAAGGAGAATTTATTTTTATTATATTTATTTTTATATATTTTGCTATTCTTAACCATGGGTATTATGAACTAAATAAATGCCATTTAGCACTCAAGAATTCTGTCTGTTTTTATTGGCATTGAAACTATTTGCATCGATCATAATGTTGACAAGCTCCAAACTGTGTTGCTCAGTCATAATGCAATCTGCTTTAAATTTTACTTGATTTGTGTATGCAATGTTATATATTAAAAGATGAAACAATAGTTTAATTGAACAAGTACAAAAGTAAATTCTTGTGGAAATTTAAAATGGCAATAATTACTAATAATAAACACTAACACTGCAATGTAGCTAAATCCACAATAAGTATCATATGTACAATAAAATCGAAGAATATTGGCGCCAAAATCAAAATCTTATTTTGAAAAGAAACAAGTTGTCGTACTTTTATTGCGAAGGTTAAGTCCCGGAAGTGCACCGCCAGGTTAGCGCTAGTTCTCACGAGGCTAGGCTAACCGAGAGGATGCCGTCGATTGAATTTGACGAGTAAGTGTCATCAGAAAACTTAGATAATTTCTTTTTGTGGTGACTGTATTTTACTGTTGTGATAATAAACTTCCGTGTTTACCTTTCAGCTCCAAGCCCAGCTGGGCTGACCAAGTGGAAGAGGAAGTAGATGAAGGTAGTTAGCATTTTTAGCTCTGTGTTAGTGAAAAAAGGAGGCCGATTTCCACTCCCACGTGGTTAAACGGCATTAACGACTTGCTAAACTACAAGTTTGTTAGCTTGAATAAGCATCTTTCCATTGTTGTCCCCGTGTTGGATGAATAAAATAGACAAATAACGTTAAGAAAACACGTTATCGTTGTTGGGCTGACTCTTCGTTAGTGACGTCAGCAAGGTCTCGTGAAAACCGCTAAATAAATGATTCCATGTTGATTGCACGTGATAAATCAAACTTTTACATTTAAAACCTGTCACTTAAGTGCCATTTTTGTTCCGTGTAAAGTTAAAGCAGGAGATGTTAAAGTAGATTTTAAAATGTCTAATGATACGTTTATTAGATCAACACAAACGACGCTTAAATCATTTTTATACGTTTTTAATGTAATTTCCTTGTAATTATCTATGATGTTTCCCGGATATATGCTTTTTTGTTTAAAGCTTGTGTTGTTTTGTCACAGGCACATTACCATCTCCCAAAGAGACCATCAAGGGAAACATAAAAACACTCACGGAATATAAAATAGATGAGGATGGTAAAAAGTTCAAGGTAAAAGATTTGCAAAGTTATGTTGTAGCAATGGAGCTGGTTGAATTGTGGTTTAAACAGCTGGATTTAATGAGTGTAAAACAGGCTTTTAGATTATTTTCTGCTGCATACCATCAGAATCAAAATATATTTTGCAAATTGTATCTCGCAATTTCTGGTTAACAATAAATCCATTGCTGCTGTTTTGTGGTATTGTAGCAGTTTGTGTATTCCAAAAGTAAACGGATGTATCTTCTGAAATATTCCATATAAATCACAATTTTTTTGTTTAGATTGTTCGGACCTTCAAGATTGAGACGAGGAAAGCCTCGAAAGCTGTTGCCAGAAGGAAGGTTTGTTTTCAAATTGAAACAAGTCAAGAGTGTTCACTTATTTAATGAGCAACTCTCTGAGTTAAGTTGAATGTCCTGTAACGTCTGTCACTCGTTTCAGAACTGGAAGAAGTTTGGAAACTCTGAGTTTGACGCTCCAGGCCCTAATGTTGCTACCACTACAGTCAGCGACGACGTCTTCATGACTTTCATCTCCAGCAAAGAGGTGAGAAAATGTTGTCTGCACCCCCACCCCCAATTCCCTGATGATCTGATAAGTTATTTTTTGCACAATATCTCCAGAATTTCACTGCGCACTTGAATTCTCACCCACACCTCCTAAATAATTTCTAAAATTATGTCAAGTTGCTAATCTTTTACTTATTAATTTTTTCAGGACCTGAATGCTCAAGATCAGGATGAGGATCCCATGAACAAACTTAAAGGACAGAAGATTGTGTCTTGTCGTATTTGCAAAGGCGACCATTGGACAACCCGCTGTCCATACAAGGACACACTGGGTCCCATGCAGAAGGAGCTGGCTGAGCAGCTTGGCCTTACCACTGGGGACAAGGAGAAGACTGCCGGTTCTGGTATCATCAGCTGACAACTATATACCAATTGTTGGACACTTTGTACTGTTCGTTTCCTTAAGTTGTAATAATGAAATGTTGCTTGCTCTTTTCTTAGCTGAACCAGAGCCTGTACAACCAGCGCAAAGCAAAACCGGGAAGTATGTGCCTCCAAGCCTGAGAGATGGAGGCACGCGGAGAGGGGAGTCCATGCAGCCTAACCGCAGAGGTACGTTTGTGTAAAACTGCATGACTGTTTTTTTCAGTCATTGTGCAACATTTAGAGTGTTGTAGTTTAAATGGTAAATTCTTGCACCCAACAGCTGATGACAATGCTACCATCCGAGTGACCAACCTGTCCGAGGACACCCGTGAGACAGACTTGCAGGAGCTTTTCAGACCTTTTGGGTCGATCTCAAGGATCTATCTGGCGAAGGACAAGAACACGGGACAGTCAAAGGTTAGCCCTCATCTTACCAAGACCTACTGAGGAGAATTACTAAAGCTAATGTGCCTGTAATATGTTCTGCATGTCATTTTAATGTCACTATTGACTGTTTTGCAATAACATGTTGACAATATCCAGAAAGCTCTTGGTCTCATTTACCGTCTTTTGTCCTGCAGGGATTTGCCTTCATCAGTTTCCACCGTCGGGAGGATGCAGCCCGAGCCATTGCAGGCGTGTCAGGATTTGGATATGATCATCTTATTCTCAATGTTGAATGGGCCAAGTAAGTTAGTCGTCGTCATGGTTGTCAGGTGCATGATCAAGATGTCGTCTTGTTCTAACGAAACGTTACTTCTCTTTACAGACCGTCAAACAACTGAGGAATTCTTCAGAATAATTTCAGGAAGATGCCAGATTTTATTGTGATAAAATGTGGTTGTTACCTAAATAAAGATGATAAATTCAGTTTCTTGTTTGTTCCTCAGGTGTTAGCATATACTGAAAGTTATTTTTGTTGTGCTACATTAATGTGCACAATACTGTCTCCGGACTGACAATTAGGACCACTACCTCAACCAGTTGTTTTTGAGCTGATATCCTATCGTTCTACAGTGTATGGAAACAAAATGAGGGGGGAAAAGGGACAAGGGGAGTTGAATATGAAAAATATTTTTGTGAAGATTTGGCCGAAAAGGATGAAAGTGCTGATGTCATGGTTAATGTCTGTTCTATGGCAGCCAGCGCAGGTGTGTCGGCTTCAGCCACTAACGAAGCTATTTTAACCTCAATACACAACATGAATAGTGCCGTGGATGAGAGATTTAATGAGCTTAAAGGGTCTCTGCACCATTTATCAAATGTTTGTGAGGGAGTGTCTGCCACCGAAGAGGCTGTGGGATCACATGAGAAACAGCTGGAGAGCCTTGATTGAACGTGTGCATCACAGCAGCATAAACTGGATGATTTGGAGTCCCGTTCCCGCCGGCAACATATCCGCATTGTTAGAATAAGAGGAATGGCAGACCCTCTGAGTTTGTTGCCAGGCTGTTGCCCGAACTGCTGGGGCAGGAGCGTTTTGATCAACCACTGGATGTGGGCCGTGCACATGGCAGCGCGGGGCCGGCTAAGGATGAGAAGCCGCGAGCGACGGAAGATACGGCTGCAGACGTCCAGCCAGGTTCGTGGTGATAACACCGGCCTGTTTGACACTCCTGATGCTGAAAAATTGGAACGGGTTAGATTCTGACTACATCAAACAGCAGAACGTTATCTACATTGTGAACTGGGTGAGGTCAAATTATTTGTTAAAAAAAAACTTGTTTAAACGGTTATTTGTTTTTATTAGGTGGAGCCCATCAAAGGTAGGAAGGACAACTGTAAGACAGCTAGATTTAGTAAAACTTTTGTCTTTCTGCTTTATGAATATGGAGTGTCATTTGTGAAGTTACAGTCAAAAATTAACAGCAATATTTTGGTCTATTTAGCCTTTAATAAGAAATAAAAAATTTTTTTTATCTAAATCATATTTTCACCATGTTATTCATACATTTATAAATGTCATAGTTCCCAACTAAATATTTAATTTACAGTGTAAATTTAAGTTAAATGTTTAGTTAAGTAAATATTTAGTTATAAATTAAATATTTAAATAAAAAAAAATTCCAAACTTGCATAATTTCTAATCTATACATTTAATTTGCCAACTAAATATTTAACTCGGACCTAAATATATATTTTACAAACTAAACATTTCATTTCCAAAAATATACATTTAATTTGCTTACTATACATTTACCTCCGTCCCAAATATTTAACTTGCTAGTTAAATATTTAACTTGCTAACTAATTTTCTTATAATTTATATATTTTAGCAAATTCCTTGCCGAAAAACGGAAGTAGACTTTCAAGATTAAAGCCAAACCCATGTGACGCAACATTCGGGGTGGATCCGGTGTTACCTGCAGATCACTTAGTAAGTTTTATTGGTGGCGGGTAGACCGCATATTTCACTTTTCTGACATTTTCTTGTCATTTGCATGTTATTGATAATTAACAAAGTCCATGCTCAATAATCCAGGTATACAATCCAACAATTTTCAGTCAGGTCATCTGGACAGGTTTCTTTTTTTATTTTTGTGCTGAAACGTTTCACCTTCCATCCAGAAGGCTTCATCAGTCAAGGAAACAACACAAAACTGATTCTTCCCCCAACAGTTTACTCCAAAGTGGAACAACCCAGTTATATTGGTGCTAAGATGGCGTCTTTTGCACGCCCCCTCCTCCGGTACCGGGCTGGCCCTCTTCCTCGTCGACAGTCATGTCAAACTGGTTCAAAATCAACAAAGTCCATACTCAATAATCCAGGTATACAATCCAACAATTTTCAGTCAGGTCATCTGGACAGGTTTTTTTTGTTTTTGCTGAAACGTTTGTACTTTGTTGGTTTTGAACCAGTTTGACATGACTGTCAGTGAGGAAGAGGGCCGTCACCGGAGGAGGTGGCGTGCCCGAGAGACCATCTTGGCATCAACATAACTGGTTTGTTCCACTTTGGAGTAAGCTGTTTGGGGGAAGAATCATTCATTCAACCTTTATTTACACAGGTAAATCCCATTGAGCCTCGAGGACTCATTTACAAGAGACCTGATTTCAACTAAGAATGATGACAATAGACCGTTATAAAAAAGGCATACGATTTTTTTGTGTGTGTTCAGTTTTGTTTCTTTGACTGATGAAGCCTTCTGGATGGAAGGTGAAACATTTCAACACAAAAAAAAAAAAAAACTGTCCAGATGACCTGACTGAAAATTGTTAGGTCATTGATAATTCATTTGTAGTGATTTTATGTGGTACTGCAGGTCAGTTTAATACTGCATCCGTGTACTTTAGTTTACCTAGATGGTTATTAATATACACTTTTGTTCCTTTGTTTCAGATAACCACACACATTCATATAGATGAACATCAGCATCTGTACCCTCATCTCCCATGTACCTGCTCCTATTTCCTCAACTGATCTGCACCAATGGATCTGGCCCATTCCTTCTGACCGAGGAAGATTCAGTTGATGAGCGAAGAGCAATTAGCGAATGCTGGACGCACGCAGTCTCTTAGTCACCATGTCGTGACAAATAATCTGTGAAAAGATTGAGCTCCAAGACTTGGATCTCAGACCCCAAGTCTTTTTCTTGTCTCGGTAAACTCTGGTCTTGACTTGGTCTTGGGTTAAAACTGTAGGACTTAAAATGGAAGTCTTGAACATTTTTTTAAGGTCTTAAGTTGAGAATGATTTAAAGTCTTTTTAAACCTTTTATATAGACGAACATGCAAACTCTTTTTATATATTCGTTATACAGTGCCAGCCTAAAGTTAGAAAGCGTTTGACCAACTCAACTCTGACTACCGCTAGATTTTCTACTCCAGTAGAGGCCACTTATAGAAGTTTAAGTTTACAATTTCATCAGAGCTTTATTTGAAACCTTACATATAAAACTACATAAAATTTGTTCAACGTTAAACATCTGAACAGCATGATTAAAAGCACAGTGAAAACTCAACATGGAATGGTTACTACATGGAACACGGTGGTCACTTAGTGACAGCTGACAGCCAATGTATTTAAAAAAAAACAAAAAAAAAATCCCCAACATCAGGATTTCTAGAATTGAATTTTGCTGGAACGGGATTACTCAGAGACTTCCATCTTTTCCTGTTTGACGTTCTCTGCAGAGAAAAGAACACATTTAGATCAAACTGTCTCATTACTAAACGTCAATTAGGACCAAGTCTAAATCATATAAAGCACCTGCTGCTTGTTCTTCCTTCATCCTCTCTAGGACACATTTCTTTAGCTCTAGCCCGATGGCTCTGGACAGCGGAGGAGGAACTGCATTTCCAACCTGAGAAACGGCAACAACCATTTGTTTGAACAGAGAAACTGCATCCGAAGAAATCAAAACGGGTCGATTCATCTAGTTTCGTGTGAATCTGATGAACTACATTTTACCTGTCTGTGTTTGTCCAGGATGTTTCCAAAGAAGCGGTAGGTGTCGGGGAACCCCTGAGAGCGTGCGCACTCCCTCACACTGACCACTCTGTGCTGCTCGGGGTGCAGAACACGGCCCTGAAATTAAACGTTTGGGTGAACGTTCAAAAGCGGTTCATCAGAATCCCCCCCAAAAAAATCCTTTGCTGCATATTAAAATAAACATATTCAAACATTTCTCCTGACTGAACAGCTGAATATGAGATTCTAAAAAGTTTCCCACGGCTCATGCACCTGTTTTCCCATGGGCTCAGGGTTGGTGACGGTCGTGCTGAAGAAGCCGTCCCACTCCAGCCTGCCGTACAGTCCGGCCCAGTGGTTGTGGCGGTTCCCCGTGTGGGGCAGACACCAGGGAATCAGGGTGTTAAACTGCCTGTCTGCAGAGTCGCAAGGCTTCCCTAAAACGTACAAATCACAAGATCTATGTCCAATCTGTAGCTCCGCCTTCTCCATCAATCCAGTGGCGGCAGCCGTGCGTTACCTCCTGCGCAGGTGCAGACGCCTCTGAGCGCGCCGGTGCCGCTGCGGCCGTTCTTTTTATCGTGATGCGTGTAGCGCAGCTTCTTAGTCATGTTGCCGTCTTTCATCCGGATCTCAAGGTTGGGCAGGTCTCTCCAATCAGAGCCCGGAGCCAGAGGGACGTGACGCATTCTGGCCTCGACCAGAGCGCTCATGTCCTGAAAACAGAAACCATGATTTAAAAAAATAAAATAAATTATAATAATTTGATCTATTTACACCATGCGATTAAATCATTTAAAACCACGGGACACATTTTATTAGAAAACTTTCAGGAAATAATCTGCGGCTGTACTTTAAAAACTGATTAACCTTTAGAGTCAACCCAATCCTCAATGGGTGCTAGAGAGCTGCTACTCTGTCAATTTACACGTAGGCCTGTCACGATAACAAATTTTGCTGGGCGATTAATCGTCTCAGAAATTATTGCAATAAACGATAATATTGTTTGAAATTTAACAATAATTAATTATCAAATTTTATAAGAAATGTTGATTTGTTTGGGGTGTAGTATCTTTTTGGACCACCTGATGGCAATTTAAGACTGAACCAAAGGATGGATAACTGCGCACCCGTCTCTTTAAGAAAAATGGGAGGGAGGGCCCTTGACGTGACATGGGCTAACATGGTGGACGCTCGGTGATTTGAGCTCTTTAGCATAGCATTTGTCACACAAAGCTTTTAATTTAAAAAAAAAAGTCAGTAAACAAGTTCTCAGCATCTTTTTGCAGAGGAAAAACAACTTTTTACACGAAGGCACAAGTTTCAACCGTGAATTTTGGAGCTTCGACAAGACGGAGGTTTATTCCCGAGGTCGGCCTGTTAGCTTAGCTTCTCAGCTTAGCTGCTTTTAAATGACCCAAAAACGCGATTTTGAACGGTTAAAAACGGATTTTAAAGAGAAAAGAGAACGGGAGGGGTCAGTGAAGAACACCGGAGTTGAGTCTTTTGTCATCCAGTGTCTTCAGTAGAAAGAGAGACACGAAGGAACGATAAAGCCGGTAAATGAAAATGAGGTCGATAATTTTCATTCATCATGCGATTAATTGATTTATCGTTTATCGCGACAGGCCTATTTACGCATTTCATCAAGGAATGGGAGACCGGTAATCATTTCAGTAGTAGCTGCAGCACAGTGCCAGCTCACCTTGCAGATGTGGTCTCTGAGGATTGGCTGATACTGTGTGCCTCTGATCTGCCTCTGGAACCAAGACTGAGGTTCCCCGTTGTAGGAAATCTCCAAAGCTGCGGCACCGTTGCAAATCTCCGGCAGATCAGACATGGAGTCTCTCACTGTGATGGTTCTGTAGATTCCACCATTACCTCTGTTACAAGACAGAAAATTCACTCGATAAGTTGCAGTTCAAATGCATTACAAGGTTGTGCGTTGTTTGTAATTTAAACAATTAACAGCACTGCAAAGATTACCGTGTGACGTTGCTGACATATTTCTTTTCGTCCACTACCACGCTCAGCTGGCAAGCTCTGGGAGCAAATACGTGGAGCGGTTCAGGGAAACGGGGCAGCTTCTCACCCGGAGCAGCAGCCAGGACGATTGCCCTGCGGCGGGTTTGGGCGACACCGTACTGACCGGCCTGATGAGCAGAGCACCTTAGGAATCTGGTATGGCTTCATCGGAGCAGTTTTACACAGAAAAAAAAAGTCCAGACTCACCTGCAGGACCCCGAACGTGCACTGGTAACCCATTCGCACAAGACAGCGTAAAGTCAGCTTAAGGACCATGGAGTTTTTGAACGAAACAAAGTTCCTTACGTTCTCGAGCAGGAAAAACTTTGGTCTGTAGTAGTCGCAGTAACTGAAAGGAAGATGTGACGGTTAAAGCGCAACTGCAAACTGCGAGAAAAATCAGCAGCATTGGCTCTTAGTGGCACACCCACCTCAAATACGAGACCACAAGAGAGTTCTTGAATTTGGAATAAGTTCGAGAATTGAAGCGATTCATGCCACTGAAACCTTGACACGGAGGCCCGCCACACAGCATTTCCACATCTCCCTTCTGCGGCAGCTTCTGGCCAAGAGAGTTGGTCTTCTCTCCTGACATGACTAACTTCAGCAAGACGTTGCAGTCCTCTGTGAACACGGTGGTGCCGGGGTTGTTGAGCCTGAAGGCCTGCGCTGCAGGTTCCCACATCTCTATAGCCCAGAGAGTCTCAGAGATGCCTGAAGACAACGCGCAGTTACCTCTCAAACCACCGCCTCGGTGCGTTTGGAAACATTGTGTGATGGAAGACGTATTTACCCGCCTGGTGGAAGCCTTCAGAAAGTCCACCGCAGCCGGAGAACACATCCAGAGTGCGATATTTAGACACTTTAGGTGGCTCTATGGGAGAGTCCTGTGGTTCCTGCACAGCTTTTCCTTTGCCTTTACCTGATGAGAATACCAACCACATATCTCTGAGTTAAGATCAAATTAATGGTAATAACTTTTTTTTCCTGCATAAAACCGTTTATAAACAAACCTTTTCCTTTGCCCTTTCCTTTCCCTTTATTAACGGAAGAGCGAGCATAATATGGAGGATCTTCAAAGCTCTTTGATTTGGCGTTGTAAGCCTGAGGGAGAAAAAAGGATACATAAAATCAAATCTACTGTTTTATTCAAGAACACAAAGCTGATCCCGTACAAACGCACAAACTACACGTTGACAACAATCGTTACACTGACTGCATTTTATAGCTTACCGTATTTTTCAGCCCATAAGTCGTGTTGTTTTTTTTGCATAACTTGCATGCCCTGCGACTTACTTATGGATTTTTTTCTCCATATTTATAAAAACAGTTTTTGGCTGAGATATGATCGTTTTCAGTCATTCTGACTGAAAATATTGAACGCTACCATTTTCAGCCACTAGATGGCACTCGAGCAGTATGGCATGCCGTTGTGTCATGTAATAGGTAAAAGTGGCTATTAATGACACAGTGGACTTGCCATAAACTCCTACCTTTGTCCAGCTCGCCTGGAGCAACCATCAAATCAGCTTCATTTTGCTGCGCCGCCCTGGTGAAATGCAGCTAATTTGGCCATTGAAGTGTATTTATTAAGTAAAAGTTCAACTGAGACACACCTTTACTATAAAGTCGAGCAAACAAATAATTGTTTTAGGTGCTTATCTTGTTAAATTTCCAAGAAATGCGCAGCGAGTCCTCCTGTGCATGCTCCTACTTCCGCGTATCTGTTATTGAAATGCAGCTGATTTGACCATCAAAGTGCATTTATTAAGCAAAAGTTAGACTGAGACACACCTTTGCTAGAATTTCGAGCAAACAAATAATAGTTTTTAAATGTTAATCTTGTTAAAGTCCTCCCGTGCACGCTTCCGCAGCCGCCAATTGGCATCCAATCGATTTTTGGCGCACCTGCCCACATTTCCGGGTCGTCAGCGGTGACGCATAATAGATGCGACATATACGGCAAAGCAACGTATTTATGGATTTTTCCACTTTATTAGACATATTTGGACTGATGCGACAAGTACGGCAGAAAATACGATAATTCTTCTTGGCAGGGTTGTGTGGCGTAGCAGCGGACGCGAATACACAATTCTGAAAACTATTATTGACTGTACCTCCAGAAAATAGAAGCGGTCTGGTCCACCACTGGAGTAGTCCTGGACCGATTCATTCAGGTCTTCTGCGTACTCTACTTGACAGCGACCGAGGACGTCCGCCATGCTGACGGTCACTTCTTCATCGCTCCAGTAGAGCTGATTGATGTCCGTATGGTAACTAGCTTTGACACCTTTGTGGGTATTCTCCGGCCTACATGAGAACACAAACTTGGATCGACTCTCAGCTCTTTTTTTTTTTTTTAAGAAAATAAAATCTATGCGCTCGCTCAACAGAACTGATCTACCTGTAGAACTTGTAGAGTCTCAGTTTGACCTCGCCGGTGTCAGATTTCCCGTTGCTGCGTCGGTGACAAAAGATCTCCTTGATGCGCCCGATACGAAATGGCTGCGGAGCGTCCAGGTTCGACCCTTTAATGTAGTCCGACGATTTCCTGTAGTACTCAGGGTACAGATCTTCGTCGACGTCCTCCTTCCTGTGGGAGCGTTTCACTGGACTGGCTGGCTTCACGCTGACCACCAAAACACAAGCAGTAAATCTCAATTTCTTTGTTTTCATTTTATAGCGCAGTTTCATATCCAGTAACATGAAGCTGCTCCTAGAGGTGTCGATTATAATGTAGCACATACGGTGAGCTTATGCACCGCACACAGTACTTTGTTAAATATAGCAGCATACCTTATAGTTTTGGTCACTATACAAGTCACTCACCTGAAATTAAAGGTTTCAGGGGGCAGGTAGACGCCGTCTCCCACCCTGAACTGTTGTCCCATGAAGCAGGCCAAAGCATAAAGAACTTTGGTGTTGCCGTCTTCGTTCTCCAGGGGTTCAAAGGCATGAGGGATTTCCTGATCGTCTCTCGCTTTAGTACGAGCACAGCTGCCGCAGAACCTATAAGGAAAAAAGTTGGTTAATTTAATGATCCTATCATCAACTCGTTACTCAAGTAACTAAGGATACAAGAAGATTTTTCAACCCAATTTACTCCTTGCAAAGGGGGGAAGGAGGGGCAGAGTTAACACACAGGCTTACACGGATGTTACATTGAAGCTCCAGTCGCAAGGTCTGCCCACAGACAGTATAAAGAAGTGTCTTTTAATAATTCTTATCAGACAGAGATAAGGTCAAAACAACCTCTGCTTTCCAGCTTAGAAGCCTTGGAGCTCATCAGGTGCGCAGGCTCCTCTCTGTTCAGATTAAACTAACTCACACACGGTTCTCAATAATTTAACACTAGTAAGTGATGACATCCATGACCTTTACATAAATTCCCCTGACCCCCAAAAAAATTAACAAATATGAGTTAAACAAGAAGTACACAAACCTGAACACCTAAATACATAGGGGGGAAAGATCACGAGTAGGAAAATGGCGTTTACCTGAACTCACATTCTTCTGATGGACAGGCCTCAGGGGGAGTCTCAAATCGAGCAAAGTCAAGATCATACCAGAACTGATAGAAGAAACTCTTCCCATCATCCTCAATCACTTTGAGGTCAACATCCATGCCGCCCTAAAAAAATAAAATGAATAAATTAAACAAACAAAAACTAAAATAAAAGTTAATAACGTTGACGTCAGGCTTAATTTGTACAACGATCGATGCCAGAACGCAAATAGCAGGCGGGCCAGCGGCGGGAGGTCCTCCCCCTGAAATTTTTTTATAAAGTAGATGCAATTTCCTACATTTTGGTGTCTTTTTAACGCGTTGTTAAACATCTGCGTTTACCTACACACACACACACACATATATATATATATATATTCTATCTATCTATCTATCTATATATATATATATATATATATATATAAAAAACACTCCGCTCTTGTCAAACACCCCCCCCCCCCCCTACTTGACAGCCTTCACTTTTATAGGGGCAGAGATTTCTTTAAGGGTAGACGTGAAAATGCTTCACTTGAAGAGGCAGATCACATGCTGTTGTGTTTAAAATGAGTGTTTATGTAATTTTCAGTTTACATATCCAATATGTTTTACTCATTCAAGGCAGTCATATTTGTACATAACTTTATTATTAGTAAGCCCGAGAGTTTCCAGATCCAAGCAAACAGTTACCAGAAGCACCCTGTCAAAATAAGAGTTCCCGGATCCTGTTCTGATCGACATTCCTCGTCTGTGAAATAAACTTGCCTCCATGACCCAGTTATCAGACGGGGGCTTGTACGTGACGTTCACTTTTCCTTGGACGTAAGTGAGCAGCATGTCTTCACAGTCGTCCACGACGACGAGCTCCAGCGGATCAGAGGACTCGCCGAGCACCGTGTGAATCCCACGAAGGAACCAGTGGGCGTGAAACATCTTTCCATTATTGTCTTCCCACAGAGACGTGATCCTGAAGAAGAAAACCTCGCTTAGATCTTGTGCACGAATCCAACTTTGGACGGGATGTTATTAAGCAGGTTTATACCTCGCCAAATAAAGAGGTATGGACGGATCATCTGATGAAACCGAGACACAATCTCCGACTTCCAGCACTTCATCGTTCACAGAGACCTTCTTATAGTACTGCTTCTTTCCCACAGTCTAAGAATTAGACATTAATACAATCGTCTGTAACGTACACTAAATAAAAACTTGCTCAGCACCAAGACAACAACAGACCTGAACAGGCTCTCCAATCCATGCGAGCTTGGACTGGGTCTGCTTCTTCCTCTTGGCATTGAGGACCTTTTTAGGCTTCTCTACTTGAACGTCTTCCTCCTCAATAGTCTCATCATCTTCAGCCTCCTTTACAGCAAGGTTTGGACATCTGAAAATGGGGGTGTTCATTGGTTAGAAATAAATGTGCATGTCTAAGATGAAATCTTCTTGAAGAGCTGCGCACACGCTCACCTCCGTTGCTTACAAGCTTGCTTGCTTTTGCCACTTCCTCCAAATTTGATCATATCTTTGCAGGCTACGCATTTGCCACAATCGGGCGATTGGCAAACCTAAACATTCAGTAAGTTAAAAGAAGCCCGACGGTCGTTAAAATCACATTGATGCCCGGTCATTTACTTACTTCACAGACTCCACACCGCTGTCTTTTGGCTCCGCCTTCTTTATCGTTTTGCTCTATCTGATCAGCAAAGAAGGCATCAAAGATCTGATAGACCAGCTTGGTCGTGGTTGCCTTAGTCGGTCCCTTACTGTCCTTCTCGATCTTTGTCGGATGACGGATAGCCTGTCTTCTGGCAGCTCGCCTGTCAACAGAATAAAGTTTGTTCTCAGAGGGGTGATTCTACTGGCATAAATGCCCGATCATACGTGGAGCGATGCCATTGTGAAGCCGCCGGCCATCACCACACCACAGCGTCAAGGCCATGCAATGCAACAAGCCCACAAAGCAGTCAGGATGAAAAATGCCATTTGCAATAATGGAAAAGTGAAAAGATCCTTCCTAAAGGAAACAACCTGGCCTGCGTCGAGAGAAAACAAATGCAAAAGGATTAATTTGACATTTCACCTAAATAAGACTAACTTGCCTAGCTTTTACGTTTTCATTTGTGGAGGCAAGACCCCAATTTTTGATGCTTTAGTTTTAAAGTTGTACATTTTAACAAGTGCTGGAACCAAGAAAATAGCCATTTTTCTTATGTGCGCAGTTTTCTAAAAAAAAAAAAAATTTAAGTCCACTTTCCTGCAAAATTATTCCTAATTCTACCAAACTTGTTCTCGAGCCACCAACCTGGCTTGCATTTGGATCTAGTGAGCACAGATTCACTCTCTCCAATGCTGTAGATCACCAGGTTCACACAAAGCCTCTAGAATCAACTGCGATGTAAAGCCTAAATATATTAAATTACTCTAATAAATCTTGTAGTTCGGACATTGGTACAGTGGTCATCTTGCCTAAAAGTTCTGAAATGCTTCACACTGACACAACAACGAAGCTAAGGATGAAACCACATCAAGGCCCACCTACCAGTACAGCAGCATGCTGCATTAAGAAATGTTAAAGGCATGTTAGACATCAACGAGTCAGGAGTATAAATAACTCAAATGACAATTTGATTAACAAATGCACTGAAATCATAAAGTAAGTGGTGATAATCATCCCTCACTTTAATGTTCAGCTACCAAAGCTCAATTTAGCAGCTTTGGCTACTTTTAGCTCACAAATCATCTTTAGCTGCACCTTTTCCCCAGAGTGACTCCTGCGAGTTTGATCAGATCTCTCATGCAGGGCGTGACGATGATAGGCTGCTCGTCCGAGTCCCCAGCCTCATCGTAACTCTCCACCTGCTCCACCACAAACTGGGCATGACGCAGCAGCGTGTCTTCGGTGAAGCAGTTGAAGTTAAGTCCTGCAGGAGGGACAGTCGTCTGTGGGCAGAAGAGCTCATTACGACTGTGCTGCTCGTTCGTTTTTGCAGAATTAAAGCCACCACAAATTTCTCAAAATCCTGGCTTCAGCTTGTTCGTGCAGAACAAAGCGGACACGAACTTTCAGAACTATGACGAGAAACATCCAACGAACTTACCTCAATTTTGTTGAGAAGGTCCTCATAAGAGGCGTCGCGATTCTTCTGGAGAAACTCCACCACGATCTTGCTCATGTAGATTTTCTCCTGCATGAGTGCAAAGATGGGAGAATACTCCTCACTGGGCTGCATCAAGATGTAGTCGGCAAAAGCTGGAGAAAAAAGTAAGACAACGTTAGGAGGATGCCACATATAGAGAAAATGAATACAACTGTGCACGGCTTACATGTTGTGAAACCGATTAAAGCCTTTTCTCCTCCATCAAAACCAGTGATCCACCAGGCATTGATTGGGCCCAGCTTTCTGGCAAAAACGCCACCTAAGTAGAAAAAACAAAACTTTATTAAGTAAAAAAAAAAAGAAAAAAAAAAGTGGCACACAAGCATTATGAGGTGTCTGTTGACATGAAAGCTGTCGTACCCTCCAAGCACGGGTTGTCGTCATAAATGGGTTTAACAACACAGCTGAAGTAAAGCTCCACGTTCCTCTCGATCAGCCCATTGTCAAACGGACAAAGATGGCCACGCTTGTCATACACACTGCAAAACACAAGAACACTCTGTCTGAAGGCAGCTCAGAATGCAAGGGTCATCTTATCCACAATGGAACGACGTAAACGCATCGAATGCTGAAACTCAGAATCTGTACAATAATCAAAGTGTTGCCAATTTCTGCCGAGTTTATCGTTTTAAAAATTGCTCCACAACTTTTAGAAGTTTTCCCACACTGCTGAACCTCTGCCCATGTTTACTTCTGAAGATTCGACCCTCTTTAATTTATACTCAGTCCTCCTAATCCTTTGCGAAATGCTCTTCCAGCATTCCTCCTTCATACAACTTACAGCCTTTGTTGGCGCCTTCGTGATGGCAGTCAAATTCCATTTATTTTTCTTTCTAAAATGGTACACACTGATTAGTTATCTAAAATTTGGATTAATGAGATTCGCAAATCCTTGCGTTTTGTTTTTATATACACTTTACACAACGTCCCAACTTTTTTTTTTTTTTTGGAACTGGGAGTTAATGGAAGAAAAAGTCGGCAACGTTGATTCCACAAGTCGCCAGAACAGCAACAGATAATTCACCTGAAGTTTGTGATCCTGTGCTGCGGCAAATTGTCGTAGCTTTCGAACCCATCCTCGTTGGAGTCGAACAGAGACAGACGCTCGTCTGTCAACATCTCTGGCTCCTCCAGCTAAATACACAAATAATAAAAAGTACGATGGATATTGACTTTAAACGGTAACTTTGCAGCTTTTTATTCACGATAATAACGGAAGGCTCACCGCGTTATCAGGATCTCCTTGAAAAAACTTCAGATCGGAGTCATCCAAGTACTGTCGGCAGTCTAGACATTTGGGGGGAGGCGTCTGAGAAAAGAAATGGAGGTTGCGTCAACCACTGACAAGCATATGAGCAAAAATGTTTAAAGCTATACTGAATAAATCACTTCATTACCTTTGCAGTAGACACTGGCTTAGCAGTTTCAGTCTTTAACTCCTCAGGGGCAGGTCTGTATATGTATATAGAAAATAATTAACAATTGTAAAAAAGTGCTTTCGCCTAAAGATCAATTTTCCAAGATCCTGTTATTTACTTTTCATCTGAATCCACTTTGAGTCGCTTCTCCTCACGAGACTGCAGCAGGTGACCAAACGAGTAACGTTATCATTCTTACAAACCCCAAACGACACATTTTCACAAAACCGACAAATAAAAAAACGTCACCTCGTCCGCGTCGTCTTCTTTTTTCACTTCATTTGTTCCGTTCACGGCTTCTTCATTCAATTCATCAGACTTGCGCTTTTGACTGCGAACAGATTTCAGATTAAGTCACTTGCTTTAAATACTACTTTTGATAAAAGTACACGCAGAATAAAACGAATACTTACACTTTAGAGAACATTGATAAGATGGTTGGCTGTTTCGTATTGTTTCTTGTAACCCTGGAACTGGCTGGTGACTCTAAAAATGCCGGAAAAAAACAAAACAAGCAACCTTAATTTATTGATCTTTATGAGAATATTAAAAAAACAGTAGTGTGATGACTACAAACCAAATTTCAGACTCACTTATTGTGTCTGTGCTTCCCTTGCTTTTGCGTCCACCCTTCCCCTTTGAAGCAGGTGGTGACTTGACTGCTTCTTCTTCCTGTGTGTCCATGGTTACATTGCCATCTTCATCCTTTTTGTCTTTATGAGAGCCATTAGTGAACCCGTTTGCTTTTCCATTCTGCTTCACATCATCAACACATGAGCCATTTTCCCGATGAAGTTCTTTACCCAGCAAGGCTTTCACTTTTGAGATGTAAACCTCCTAAGGAAAGTACAAACGATGCATTACAGGAGACGTTATTAAAAGTCGAGTAACGAGGGTAATAATTACACAGATAAGATTCACGAACCTTTGAGATCTCGGACTTTTTCATTTTTTTTTCAAGGCTGGACAGTTGGTCTTGAGCATCGTCGTGCAGGAAGTCCTGCACCAACTTGAGCTTCTCCTTCACTTGGTCCTAAAACGGAACAAGAGCTTTTGTGAAGCAACAAAGCAGCTCAAATAATTGTTTAATCTTGAAGTTGATGCAGGACAATAAATTAAAGATTCAAACTAAAAAAAAAGGTATGAATTAATTTTAGTGCCAATTGCCTTGACAGAACTTAGTGCAAAAAACCCGAATACATTACTTAACAGTACTTAAAAACGCCAGTTAACCCCTGAAAATGTAACCATCACCCAGAGAGAATGTATTTGTCTGTTTGTTAATCTATTGTGTTTGCAAAACACCCCATGAATGGATGAATTTTTACTAAACTCCCAGAAAATAACCACCGGTTGTACAGCTATACGAGTAACTTTTAATAATTTCAGTTCAAGACGGCTGCGTCAGCTAATCCACATGACCAAAAAGGTCAAAGGTCAGAAGTCAGGCAATTCTACCCATACTGATCTAAAATTTTGTGTGGTAGCAGCTGAGAGTCGTCCTCAACACATACTCCAAGCACGATCTCACAAGCAGCAGGCAATGTGGATTCCTTTAAGAAATGGTAAACTTTAAATTTAGTTTTTGTCATTTTCTTAAAGCAGAAAAAGGGAAGTAATAGAGTAAACCCTGAATAGTTTTAGCCTAACTTAGAACATTCTTATTCTAACGTTTGTGAGTGACCATTTGAATTCTCATTAAACTGGTTTATATTTTCCTAGTTTTAGAGCAGCATATTTTTAGGTACAGTTTTGTGCTCACTAAACTCACCTCCTCTGAAGATCCATCCTCATCCAGCATCTCCAACCTAGAAACACAACACATTTCAGTTTATAAAGTCAAGTCACCGAGAGGCACATTGTATTGCCATGCCGTGGCAGAACATTTACTGTCAGAAGGAGCAGCCAAAATAAACGCAGGAAACTTCCTGAGTGGCGCGAAATCTCCCACGGTGCTCCATAGATGTCAGGCTAACGATGCTAGCAGGTTAATAGTGATTTAGAACCAAATTGATAAGTAGCAACAAGCTAACGCTAGCTGTAGCTGCTAGTTCAAACCCAAGGTGAACTTTTCACTCCATCTAGGGAGTCATGATATACAAATTAAGGAATACATTTTAAAATGTGCTGTTGTGACTCGTTATGAATATGACAGTATTAGCATGCCTAACCTTTTCCTCACGTCATCTGGCAGAGACAGGCACGTTCTGGATGGCATCTTAAACAGTTAATTAAAAGCGTAAGAACCGAGCGATTAAAACAAACTGCTAAAAGACCGCTGTAGCCCACCGTCATTCACGGTGACTGACAGTGCTGAGTGGCTCTTTGACGGATGCTAGTTACATGCAGTTTGGGCGGGCAGGCCGTCTTTTCGCGCGGAAACCCGGGTGTTGTGGACTGTACCACTTCACACATCCGCCGGCAAAACATTCCCTGTAGAAAAAAATACAAATTACATTTAAAATACACAAACGCGGTTATTAAAGGGAAATTAATACCACAAATAAACTTTATAAGCATAATTAAAGTTATCAGTTTGTTATAGTTCCACATATATACGTTTTGTCAGAATAAACAGAAATGCGGGTGTCCCCCTTTTGTTTCACACTTGTTAGAGTCTAATGACCAGGCGGAAGCGATGTGAATGTTGTTTATGAATAATATAAATGGGATTTTTCCTGGTTAAATAAAGGTTAATAAATGAATAAATAAAGCAGCAAAACGTCACTACATTTGTAAGTCTAACCTCTGTAATTGTCTAAAATACGAAACTGTTTTTTTTATATGTATCATGAAGCTGCTTTGTGGAGATAACAGCTGTAGTATAGAATATTTTAGCTAGGTATTGCTAAGCTAGGTATTATTAGCTATCTTCCATACTTTTTATGTGTACATTACAGTTTGAACAGTACCTGTACTTGGATTTTCATTACAACGTTTCATATATTGCAAAAACATCCTTCAGCTATGGCCAGCTATGTGCTTATTTCACCACAAGATGACAGTATTTCATTACATTTTTAACATTACATTTTGGAACAGTTTAGAAAAGCTAGTTTTTATTTTTATTTTTTCCAAAACACCTCACACAATTAGCATCAAAGCACACACACACAAAAATCAGGAATTTTGGAAAACAAAACACTTCTAATACTCTAATTTGTATTTAAAAGGGTTATATTTTACTGCCATATCAAACACACACCAATCATAAAAACTTTATTTTTTTACTGTTTACAAACTAATGTGTCCAACCTAAAACACTTCTAGCACCTTTCCTTCCCTCGTAATTGTAAGTGAGGTACCTAGTAAAGTCCAGAAACAATGCTGCAAACTGACGAAAAAAACATTATACCATAAAATCAAGTCAGTATGTAAATTCAATAATGTAGCCCAGTTTTCTGTAACTTAAGCAAACTTATATGTAGCAAAATACCATGAAATACTTTATCAAATACAGTTACAGTGGATAAAAGATAAAGGCATCACCTTTTTGCCTCGCTGGATCTAGCCTTTAGATTTTATTCATATCACCGGAGTGAAGAATCTCCATGTCTGCCAAATCCACCCACCCCTGAACCGTTGCTGCATCGATATAGTGCTCATACCTGACCTGACTCACACTTGGTTGAAGTTTTTAACCATTTGGTTTGTAGATCTAGTCGTCTGAGAATCAGTGCCTTGCAAAGAAGAGACATCTTGGTGTATTTTGATTCTAAAGTAGATAAACGTGTTCTGCATTTTGCAAAATGGCAGCGTGAATGAGTGAGTGAGTGAGCATTTTGCTACTTGAGTATATTTTTTTTTTTACTAACTGTTGGAATTTGTATACAGTTATAGGAAACAGTAATTGCTTAAAGTAAAAATTTAATTCAAGGCCATCTTTGAGGACAGATAATGCATTAGAAACCTCTTTTTGTTACACATGCAGTGCAAAAGTCTTAAACCACACCATATTTCATTATAATTTGCTTCTAAGCAGCCAGACGTTGTTTTAATCTGTTTTTTAATCAATAGTTTTTTAGGCTTTCTGAAGGCCTGTTTTTCTTTTACATTTTATTGTTGTATGTAACTGGGACCCTGTGTACATAATTTCGTTCCACCACATGTACCACATGGGGTGCGAATGACAAATAAAGAACCTTGAATCCTTGACTTTGATAGTTTTACTTTGGTTTTTGGCTGTTTTATATAAATGCGTAATATGCTTCATATATTTGTGTGTGCATGTTTTTATTCCACAACCTGATCATTTTCAGAGGAATAGTGATTGTTTACCAAGACCTAATTCTAATCCATAAATCGTTTGGATCATTCGGGGATAACATGGCTACTAAACTGTATCAAAGTAACAGTTTCAAATGGGATTTTTAGGCACTTTGTTACAACCTCCTGTCACAAAGACAGCGTCTTCCTATTCATTCGTCAAAATGATAAAAAAATACATTTGATAACACCAAATAACGGACACAAAATAAAGTATTTTTACACTGAGAAAGTGAATCCCCAAAGAGCTATTAACTAAAAACTTGGCATGCATGATTAACTGAAAGATATTTGTGTAAATTTTGTTGTCAGGTCTTTGCTGGATATGTTCCTGTATCCCTGATCAGGCTCATGTATACTGATCACTCTTCATCCGCTGTTTAACCCTTTACTTCTCATCTTTCCTTAAAATATGAGGTTTACTTTGCTCATTAAAAGCAAAATATAAAGAAATGAGGGATTTAAAACTTTAATACAGTGTGTATATAAAAATGTACTGTTTACATTCTCTTAATATAGCTGTGATTATTATCTATGAATTATTACAATCTCATGGAATCTGTTAAAATTTAGTTTTATATGAAAAATGTTCTTTATATGATGAATTCAGGGCAGCACGGTGGCACAACTGGTAGAGCTGCTGCCTCTCAGCGAGCAGGTCCCTGGTTCAAACCCCGGTCCAGGGGCCTTTCTGGGTGAAGTTTGCATGTTCTCTCCGTGCATGCGTGGGTTTTCTCCAGTTACTCCGGTTTCCTCCCATAAACCAAAAACATGCATGTTAGGCTGATTGGTAACTCTAAATTGTCCCTAGGTGTGAATGAGAGAGTGAATGGTTGTTTGTCTCGTTTGTCTCTATGTGGCCCTGTGATGGACTTGCGACCCGTCCAGGGTGTACCCCGCCCCTCGCACAGTGATTGCTGGACATGGGCACCAGCGACCCCCGTGACCCAAAATGGAATAAGTGGGTAAAGATAATGGATGGATGGATGATGAATTCAGAGTTTTTATGTGATGAGTTTAATATTGTGTGCGTAAAAACTCACAGGTTTCTGATTGTAGCGTCCTGTCCAGCAGAGTTGGAAGGACTTGGCTGGATTCCCAACAGTGCAGCCTCCTGGGATACTTTCAGCCAGTGTTCCCACCCAGGAATTCTGGATGTCTGACAGGAAACAGACCCAAGGCCAGTATAAGGCAGCCTCTCCCCCAGCCCAAGTTTCTCCCCATCATCCATAAATGCCTCCAGGGGGCATTTTATAATGCTTCACGCTGACGAACTTTGTTCCAGACAGCTTATGTCACCACACCCTGTTTCATCTCTCTGCCCAGCTTCCTATTGTTGCCCTGTTTTGCTGTAACCTCCAAGCAACTGAATAATTTTATTAGGTAAGAGAGTCATGATTAATGCCCACACTGAAATTGCACGCACGATTTCAGGCTTTCATGTTGAAGCGAGTGTTTCTGTGACCTTGTCAGAGCATGTTTAGGTTTAATACTGCTTTTTGAATTCTTAGCAGAGCTCGGCACATTAACAGGACATCTCTGTACACGTAGAAAGTTCCAGCTGCATCTTAGAAAGAAAGAAAAAAAAAATAATAATAATATATATATATATATATATATTTTTTTTTTTTTTTTGCCCACACCTTAAAATGAAACTGAAACACATTTAATTTGGTATTTCATTTATTTTATAAAACTGGAATACAGTTAACAAAATGTTTATGTACCTCAATTAGTGTTTAAGATTGTACCAATTTAACACAGGCAGCGTGCTACAAGACACACAAAGCTATTGCACACAATACAATTCATACAACACAAAATCATACATACTGTACAATACATACTTACAAACATACATAGTTATTCAAATATTCACCATAAAATCCAGGTACACGGTTTAAAACGCCTTTCTACTCAAATGAGAAAAAATAACTCGGGGAAGAAAATGTCTCTGAAGCTGCCAAAGTGCTTTTCACCATTTCTACTTGGCTGTCTAGATGAAAATGTTAATATTCGGCAGAATAACAGAGAGAGGAGTTTTAAGTGTTTGTCTACAGGAAGACGGTTAGTGTAACCCTGAACAACAGGAACCGGACCTGGAAAAAAAATAAAAACAGGACTTCCTACGGCTGACGGAAGTTCCACACATAGGATGTCAGAGCGTTTGAAACCGGATTTAATGTTTTGTGGAGGCGGTGAGGGTGGGACGTTGGAAAGACGAGATGCATTTACGCTTTTAGTTGCACAAAGCATGCCACTAGCAAATTAAACTAGCATCCTCACAATTTAACTCTTGTTCTTGGTGCAATAAACAGTTCACAGTGAGAGTGACTTGTTCACCCCCACAAGCTGCTGGTCAGAGACTTGGTAATAACATGATGACTAGTAATACTGTCAATAACGGAGCATGTGCCCCAAACACTTCATTCATACATTCAGCCATTTTTTTCTTTCTCTCAAAGACATTAAAAAAACAAGTTGGCACATTGCTGCTATGTTGCTACAACACTGTCAGGGCATTGGTTCCATTAGTCAAAAATGCTGGAGAGCTGTCACAGGGTAAAATTCAAGAGTGCCAACGCACATTATGAAATGCGCTTTCCAAATTGGCCTTCCTCAACGGAAACTTAAAATATTAATGACAACAGTCAAAGCAAAGGGACACAGGTTATAAAGGCAAACGGGGAGAGGTGTGGTTAGTAATAGAAGCTCGAGCTGGAATAAATATCAAACACATTAACGCTTACAAATGTGTTAGAATTTCATGCATTAAATGAAGTAGATTATGCACTTCTGTTGTGATTAATTTAACTGGTGTCAAGCAAGGTTATATAGGGAATATATAGCCCTTGTTCTAAGGGACCACTCAATAATTTGGTTTCTGTACCGTCGAGTGCTCATTGCTCTGTAAAGAACAAGTGGTGAATCTTTAGGCTTGTTGTTCTCGTTCACTGGAAAGGAGAGTGATATAGTTTGAAGGATCATAGAATAATTACAAAGTGCAACTTTGCAATCTTTGCATTGACACTGCTAATGAAAAGCCCAAACTTAACAAACCTAAAAAAAAAATCATGCTTTAGATTTTGGTTTTGAATGAGAAATTACATGTTCAGAAAGAAAACGAACACATAGTAGGTATATACATCAAAATGGCTTGCTCTGTATCATTTGATAAAGGTACCAAATAAAAAAGCTTTTCACATTTCTCACACACCAAATTGGAACATTGTCCCGTTTACATACATTTCACAACTGAACAATGAATCCACTGAATGCTGATTGTAACGTCACACAGTTTTGATTGTAACGTAAGAAACGTCTGCATCCCATGAGGTGTCTCAGCAGAAATTATCAGAGATCTGAGTCCCAGGGTGCACCTGCTTTTATTTTAACCTCTGCCCATCTCATTGCAGCCTTTTTACTTGTTTGCAAATGCTCTTTTTTATTTTTATTTTTACAAAATCACAAGCCCTCTAATGCCATATCAGACACAGGTTTGCATGATGGGCATAGTCTGGTGTTCATGTTTGATGGTGCAGTGTTCCAGAGAGCTGGAGCTCTTCAGAGGGACCCAGCAGCGTTCAGATGGTCGCCCGCTCTGCAGCACCCCCCAGCAGCACAACACACGCAGGAACTCCCTTCTCATCTCCTTGCTGCGCAGCATGTAGATCACTGGGTTAAGCGCTGAGTTTAGAGCGGCAAAATTGAAAAAGATCTGTCCGTTGGAGAGGACAGGGCAGAGCTGCATGGTGCAGGACGAATCCAGGAGCAGGATTGTGAAAGCAGGCAGCCAGCACACAATGAAAACACCCAGCACTATTGTGACAGTTTTCAAAAGTGCATACGCTTGTAAGTTAGTTGCTTCCTGGCGGCTGGAGCTCACGATCAAATAGATCTTCACATAGAGGATGACAATAGAGAACAGTATGAGAGTGAAAATGGTGACCACAAAGACTATGTATTTCTTGGAGTAGAGTGGCAGGACTGCCGAGCAGTCGGGGAGATTGCAGATGCAGTTCCAACCGAGGATGGGAAGTCCTCCGAGCAGAATGGAGGTGACCCAACAAGCTCCAATCAGGAGGAACATGCGACATGTCTTGGTGGAGCCGTACACCTTGACCTTGGTGATGGCAATGTAGCGCTCAATGGCGATCGCCAACAGGCTGAAGACTGAAGCAGCCAGAGCGATGAACACTGTTCCCTCTCTGATGAACCACTGCACAGGCACCAGTTTTATGCTCATTGATCCTGACAGGAATATATTGGCTATGTAGGTGGAGCCTGCCAGCAAGTCAGAGAACGCCAAGTTGCCAATGAAGAAAAACATTGCTGAATGGAACTTCTTGTTGCGCCAGACTGCAACCAGGACTAAAAGATTCTCCAGGATGATGACGGTGCAGATAATGATGAAGACAATATTGACAGTGCTGAACTGTTCTTTACTCTGATAGCATACCGTTATGTTCTCTATGCTCATGTTTTTAGCATAAGCATAGTGGAGGCTGATCACACTCGAGTTGTAGTACTGGGAATACTTGCTCTTCATGGTGACTGGGTGGCAGAACCCAGTGGCTTTACAGCAAGGATTCATTTGCACTGCAGAGTTGTGCAAAGTGTCTATGCCATTAATTTTTGCCTTCAGGGCAACAAATGGGCTGGGTGGAGACTGGATGTCCCACAGTCTCGTCTCAGGAGTGGCGTGTGGAGGTCACCTGCAGAAACAACAAAGAGAGAGAGAAGGCCTGGGTTACTCTCAGAGGAAATGTTGCATTAATAAAATATCAAAGTTAAGTATTTTTTGTTATTGCTTGCCATTGAAAGGCAGACAGTAGTGTTTTGATTGTGACTTGGGGGCAGGGGTTATCAAAAATATATAAGTGGATGAATGTTAAGTAAACTTTTAGGATGATTGTACAACTATGTCAGATTAACTTTTGGAACCAACCCAATTCAAGTTGGACAACACAACCAACTGACCATAGAAAACACGAAAGTGGCCATGATTCAGTCAATTTTATGGTTATTGGGTTAAAATTTTGTAATTTAGCTGAAAATCATTCACAAGACATGATCCAGCTGCTCATTAAATGAGATCTATGCTTGAAAATTTAGCATCAACTGTTGGAGTCAACCCTGTTTGTCTTTTTGCAAAAATATCTAATGATCTAAAGAGTCGCTGAATGAAATTTGATTAAACTTTCTGAAAGTCGTCTTAGGATGTACATCTAAAACTTATTAGCTTTTGGAGGCAATCCAATTCCACCACTAACAATCCACATCAGCCAACAAAAAAATCGCTATAACTCGGTCAGTTTAACAAGTATCAAGCTACATTTTCACGTGGTTGTAGTTGAGTGTCATCCCCTACACAGTCCAAGCATGACATCTACTGCATGAGACTGCACATGAGGTTACTGTCAAGGTTTGACCAAACAAGCTACAACTCATTTCTCCACTCTTAGTCTAAAGTGCTGACATGAAAGGCAGTGAGTGATATGTGGTCTTTAAAGAAATTCTAGGCCTTTATTAATATTTTTTTCTCCCCAGTCTTCTTCATTAACTGTAAAACAAAGTATTCGTGCAATAACATATTTCTCAATTTGAACACAGTAAAATAATGATCAAATTAAATAAAAAAATAAATAAAAAACAAAAACAAAACAATACATTTGTTGAAACTGGCTTGAAACACAGCAGTGAAGGCTATACATCTGGCTGGCAGGCTGTTGACTGAGGAAGTCCTCTGGATGGAGGACAAAACGTTTCTCACTTAAAAGAAGCTGGTCCAGGTGACACAATTTAAACTTTTTTGTTGTTTTTAAAATAATAAACTGTTTTAAATCAAAACAAAGACATTTAAAAAGTACACATATGAAAGTCCTCTTAGTTGTACTGCAGGGTGTATGCTGCACTTACTATTTATCACGTCCCAAATGCAAAACCCACAAGTGCGCCATACTGTGCATTATCAGAAACTTACTCCAAGAAAAATTAGGATTTGCATAGTTCATGGAGATAAAATGCAAAGTTTCCCCCCTCGTTTTTTATATATTTTTTGGAACGGTGAACCTGCTAAGGCAAACGTCGCCTCCAGGTAAAAGAATGACGGCTCTGTGAGACAAAGTCTGAAGGGGGACATTCCACCAACCCTGTCCGAGCACTCGGCTATCAACACACTGCATTGTTGTGCGGAGCCAACCATTCCACCCCAGTGAACTACTTCTTGAAACTTCAGTATGTCTTGTTGATCAGCCAGACCGTTTCGTTCTGACCTGCCCAACCACCCACTTCCAGTTACTGAGAAAAGCTAACAGTAAATCAAACAGATACCCGAGAGGAATAAGTGGGGGCTTCAATAGGAGAAGCCTGTTAAGACTTGATTGTGGTGTACAGTGTTGCTGCAGTTAACTTTTGCTTATTACTGCCGTGAGCAGTAAATATTCACACTGGGTCTATTTTGTTTTAAAAAGTTAATTCAAACTGATGTGAATCAATGTGGGATTCTTGATGGATCCTTCTAAAGAAGAGGATAACTTCACAAACTCTTCGCAAGAAATTAAAAAGCGACTGACACTTAAGGGCTGAGCAGAAAGAAGTTTAAGGCAGGTTCTGGTAATCTCATTAGAGGTGAAGCTGGTGTTTTAAACCTGACAAAAGCAACATGATCTCTCTATAGACCAGCTCCCAAGGTACCGGTAATTCAAGACTGATGCTTCTACTGCTTGTCTTCACCGGCCTGGACGACTCCAGCAAACCCAAGCTAAATAAATGAACGGAAACCGGGCTCGGACCCTTCACTGTTCTGCTGGGCGTTGAGTCAAAACCCGAGAGGCTAAAAGATAAAGAAGGAACGAGACAAAAGCAGACAGAAATCAGGCATGTGGAATGGCATTTGGACACAAAAGCAGGAATCTGTGACGGCGCGCGCGTATACAAACTCACCTCAGACTTCCACACATGCAGGAAAATACAGTATATTGTTCGCCCACTAGCCTGATTGTGACAAACTTTATCATGCACACGTGCAGGTTGAGCACCCAGCTGCTAACTGGCTGCCAGTAAGAAGCACATTGTTTCCTCCAGCAGGAACAATAGCCGCCTTCACAGTGGATAGCGGTGGCCTTCAGCCTTAATAATGAGGCAGCACACGTCCATTTGGCGGCTGCAACTGTATCATGGCAGAAATAAAGTTACTGCTGAGCACTCCCTTATCGAGCTGCCGTCTCAAGGATGCCTGTCTTCCCCCCTTCCCATCCCTTTTAGACCCATTAATAGACACAAATAGAGAAAGCTTGAGCTTGAGCACATGCGAGAGCTGCACCAGGGTAATTACATTAACTAACATTATTGAAGATTAATGATTTTACTCATGGAAAGTCTCGTATCTCCACAGGCCTGTGTCTGCTATGAGAAACCACAGACCTCTCTTTGTTTCATCTTGTGTGCTGTTTTTTTAACCCCTCGGCTCTGGACAGCTCTCTTCGCCTGTCGTCCTGTTGTCACCAAGGAGTCTTTTAGCGTCTGTCATCGAGGGATTTTGCACGTGGGAAACCGGACTGGCTGGTTTGCCTACAACAATGTCTCGTAGCCGCCCAGCCCTTCTACCTGCCATGTGCTTTTCACGTGTTTCCACGGCGATTGGTTAGCTGCAGCGCAAACTTTCTGCAATGCACAAACACCCCCACCAAGCACACACTGTTCTTTGTCAAAGTTTTGCCCCACATTTGACCCAGACACCTCTATCACACTTTCACTGTAGACAAAACACTCTACAGTTTTGTAGACCTTTTTTTTATTTTTATTTTGAAAGTACCTTGCAACAACTTATAAATAAAGGTAAATTATCGTGCAGTTAGTTTTCTAATTGTCATATTGCAGCGAAAGTGGTTTTGAAGCACACTGCAGTTGTATAGGGTTGTTTAGAAGCAATGCAAGTTGGAGATACTGGTTTTAAATTTACGACAGACTATCCTCAGTTTGTTTCATCAGTTCCTCTTGCTCTGTTATACAAGTGAAGGTGCAAAAAGGCAAGAGAAAAATAGCTCAATATCCTGTCTGAGTTTCACAGCAAAGCTCTAAAAGGTTTATTGGAGGTGATAAAAGAACCAAGTGTGGACAAGTGCATAGAAGTCAAGTGACAAAAGGAAGTCAAAGAAGAGAAATAACCGAGACAGGATATCCTCTCTAAAAAAATATGTACTTAACAACTGAATTTCAACATACAGTATATTATCTTGTGAAAAGAGATGCAAAGATGGTCTTGTGGTACACATTTCCTTGCATGGACGCCACTATATTTTTGCCTCTCTTCACAGTTCTGCCTCCTTTTCAAGACAAATGCAGATGAACAAACTTTATTGTACTGATTATATAACCACTGTTGCATACAAGTTTCAGTGCACAAATTTTGCATGTATGCATATTACTCTCGCACGCTTTAAAGCCCAGACTTCTCATTCATTGTGGGACTAAAAGCTACACAAAAGCCCCAGGTGTGTTTTTTTTTTTTTTTTCCAGAAACACCTGATAAGCCCTAATTAGCAGAGTGTCTGCCCACCAAAGACCAAGACAACACCGCCCAATAACCTGTCAATCTATACTTAAATCTGGCTCCACTTTCTCTGGGTGGGAAGCTCCTACAAAAACAGCATTGTCACATTTCCATCTCTGCTCACAATCTTCAACAATAATTTAAAATAAGGGGAGAAAGACGCTAAAATTGAGAAAGATTACATTTGCTTTCTATCGTCTTCATTTAAAGATTTTTTTTTTTTTTTTTGCTGCTGCTTTATTTAGTAGTCATTAAATTGTGAAATGTTGTACAGCAGTGTGTAATCTGAAGAAATACTGTTAAACATCTTCAGCCATCTACCCAAAATCCTGTCTGTTCTGCTGTTATGGCAACAAATGGCTACAGCCTATAGCCACTAGTGCTTTAAAGAACACTAAAAAGGCAGACATGTTATACTGTAAAATACATGTTTTCTTTGTGGATTCTTATTGCCCTCTGAAGAAAAGCAGAGGTGGATATCTATTTATTACCAACATATCTCATGAAACACTGGACAAATTTTGATGGAACTTGCAGAAAGTAATCATTGTGTCTACAGTTAAATACCTTTTGGAGTCAGCTGACCTTAACTGAGACATTTTTGCAGCCATTGACCTAAAATGGGATGTTGTAGTAGCCGAGTCATTCACAATGCTTTGAGCATGACAACATGTGATATTGTATTGCACAAGATTTAAATAAAGCTATCTTAAAGGTTTGACCAAAACAGCTACAGCTTCATAATTTCTCATCAGAAGATGATTTCTGTCTAAAATGCACGAATGGCGGCAAGTGATGTGCATTCCGTTTAAGTATACAAAGGTAATTATTAGTTGTATATGTCCCAATAAAGAGATTTAATGTCTTCCTGTAAAAAAGACATTTGGCTTTTCTTTTGTAAGACATCTAATCTGTCTTTTAATAAAAAGCTATGAATCAATCCATTACCAACACAGATATTTTCCACTGCTGTGACATGCTCCTTCTCAGTTTCTCAGCTATTAATAATGAGCATTATCTTATCTGTAAGAGTGCATGGAGTTACTTTGAGCCAGATTCAGCTACTCTGTCCTGTTGCCTCTGATCTGACCTAAAGATCTGTTTTGGGTTTCTATTTCTTTTTTAT